CAAAGGACCGAATGCTGACTTTTCCCCTCGGCGTAGTTCTGTGGAGGGGTCTCGAGAAAGGCGAGGGAGTGACGGGCAAGGAAAATTGGCTGGGCATAGAGGAAGAAGAAGATGTCTGGCAACAAGGTGAGATTGAGAAACACTTCATCAAGGGACAAGGCCATGTGATTCCAGCTGAGATGAGAGAGGAATTCAACTCGTGGATTGAGGGGCTGGTTGAGAGGGGCATTAAGCTCAACGAGGAAGAGGGCGTGTAAAGGTGTGTACTCTTATTGGTGACGCCAATGACTAGATCCATGGCCCCCCCTTTATTAAGACAATACAAAATCAAGAAACTTTCAAAAATAGCATCCAGCAAAAGCAGCAATTGACATGTTTAATTGACATGTTCAAGTTGTAGCAAGTGTTTTACTGCCACTAATTTTGTCATGCACTATTGAGAAAAGAAATGTTTTCATCTCAATAAAAAAGTACATTGAACTTTACCATCTCCATCTATTCTATTCTTGAGCGTTTTCTCACACCAAGTACCTAAACCCAGCCATCATCTTCTTGCCTTCTTCCACGCTCACACCCTCGGTAGCCGCAGTCTGCTCGGCAACATCGCCATGCACAACCCACGCATCTACCCCCTCGTCCAATCGCTTATTAAGGCGGATAAGAATGAACCTAAAGATCAGACATCCGATAATCGTAGCGCCAAACATGGCCGTAACAACACCGTAGCTGTTCCTGTATCCGTTTGCCGCCATGTTCCAGACGTAGGATCCAGCAATGTTGCCCACTAAGAAGACGCCAATTGTTAGTACATGACTACTGTTTTTTGTTCTTGTCCTCTTCTCGAAACAAATGAATATAGCAAGAGAAATACGTACGTTGACTAAAAGCATTAATCATAGCAATAGCGACCGCACGCTTCGCCGGCGGCCTGGGAAACGACGACGAGATCCACGAGTAAAAAACGATGAAGCCCGCATACGATGACGCCTGCAGGAAGAGTGCTACGTATCGCGCCGCCGTGTGTGACGTGGCCATGGAAATAACAAAACCCACGATGCCAACGCAAATGGGCCCGACAATGTGCCAGCACCGCTCTTGCTGACGATCCGAATGCCACGCGTTAATCAGACTGACGACGCATGCAAAAGCCCACGGTGGGGCGCTCATGAGCAGCGTCGTGATGTAGCCGAAGCCGAGTGTCTTGGTTAAGCTGGGGAAGTAGGCGTTGAACGAGAGACCGGTGACGTAGGCGGTGAAGGTGATCATCAAAATGTAGATTTTGACGTCTTTGACGGCCATGAAGAGACCTGCAAAGGGGGATTGCTCTTCCGAGTCTTTGTCGGCTTCACCCACGTCTTCCGTCATTCGTAGAACGGCGACGGTGCGTTCTTCTTCGGTGAAGCCGCGCGTGTTGTGCGGTAGATCGGGGAGGATGAATGCTGCCGAGATGGCGATGACCATTGTTGCTGCTCCTTCGATCCTAAATATTGTCTTAGTTGTACATAACTCTTACTTGAAGATTCTAGTGCCTACCAGTAGAGCCATCTCCAAGCCTGTTCAAATGTCAGTATTTGCTGCAAAGAAAAAAACGATACATAACCGGATTATGGTACTTACCTCATGTCCCAGAGTTCCCTCCATGTTGCCCAGAACAGCCGCGCCTACAAGAGATGAAAAGGCGTTCGAGATAAGATTTCCGCAGAAAAGAATGGCGTTGCGAAGCGCGAGTTCGCGTCTGGTGTACCATTTGGAGAGGATGAGCAGTGCGCCCGGCCTAGAATTTGTCATGTTAATCTCCACTCCATCTACCCGCAAATGCGGTAACAGGGGAGATTATTACAGGAAAGCTGCCTCGACGAATCCAATGAAGAAGCGAATGGCGACCATGCCGCTGAAATTGTTGACGTTGCCGCTCAATGTGCTAATCATTCCCCAGAGCTAATGGAGAAAAAAAGCAACGTTAGCAAAGTGATTTTAGAGAACGGACAGAGGTTTCATACCAACATGACAATTGAAATATAGAGCGATGGTCGGGGTATCACGTTGATAATCATGTTCGATGGGACTTGCATCAGAATGTAGCCGACGTAGAGAATACTCAAGCAGGTCGAGTACTGCGTGGGAGTGAGACCAAGGTCTTCTTCCAGACCGCCCAGACGCGCTGCAGCAATGTTGTTTCGGTCGAGATCTAGTGGTAATGGTTAGCACCAAATATCGAGTATGCGACAGCACATGTAGAAAATCCCCTACAGTTCATAATGTAGATCAGCACGAAGAGCGAGCATCGTGAATCCAACTTGCGCTTCAGCGACTTCTCAACCTGCCTCCTCCTTTCGGGATCCATGGTGGCAACGGCGCTGGGTTTTGTGTGGTGTTCCGAGATCTGAGCCGCATCGTGCGCAGATATCTTCTCTCCCTCGTACGCTGTCGCCATCTTGCCAGAGCTCCTTGTCGTTGCAGGAGAGACGTAAATCAACAAGAAGCACCAGAAGAACCACATGGGGTCCCCTCTTTATTACTTATAGCTGCAGCTGGGGAAAAATACGACCCCAACACGCTCTCCGCTCCGCTGTGGGCCTCCCTACAGGATATTTACCACCCTACCCCACTGTACGTCAATCCGATCAAATACCGTCGCATGGCCGAAGAGTCTGCACTGTGGCCTAGTGGAGTAAGGCCAAATGTGCCTGATGGTGTCATGGCGGTTGAGCGCACGTCTCGAGTGGAGCCTGGCAGCAACAGTTGCATTTTGCCTGCACAAATCGTCCTCCCCCCGCATTAGGTCCAATGCCCCATTGGATGGCAGATTCGGTTGCACGTTGATCCAGCACTATGGCCAGCGCTCAGACTGGCAACAATGTGTGCAGATCAATAAGGCATGAAATTAGCCTTTGCGCATGTGGCTTGCACGTCCTTCTCCGTTGGCGAACTTTCTCTATGACCTGGGAGGCGGTCGGAGGTCGGCTTCTGCCAGTCAGATGCCGATGGTACCAGCCGTTATCCGATGCATCGGTTGCGCGAAAAAAATGCTGCTCGCTGTTCGCTGCTCGGAACTGCATTACGAGAAAGTGGATCCCTAATGCTTGTTGAGCCGCATACTCTGCCCTTTTGCGTTAAGACCGTGCCATTCGCTTGTCTCCAGGGCGTGCTAGGACATAAAGTGCGGAGGATTGGATTGCTTTGTCGGTTTCCCCGGAGTGATGGGCCGGCATTGCCAAGCTGTAGCCACGTGACATGGGCCTGCAGTAAAAAAATATCATATCGTAGCCGAACCCGCTAGTGGTCGCTCTTTTAATTGCTGATCCGCCGGAAAAAGGCTTGTGTTGAAGTTAATTTCCTCCGTTGTGCAAGAGACAATATGACCAAGGAAATAGAGAAGCAACAGGTTTCTCATCAAGACAGAAGAACTGAATCTTGATCGAACGGAATTTTGAATCTTTGTAACGGTAGGCAAAATGTCAAGGGCCTCCTCAGCTCCCCTTTACCCCTGCTAGGCCCAATCTGGGAATAATTTTAACTCTGTCTGGAAAACGGAGACGGAAACGGCGTCGTGCTCGGAAATCGTACCTCTGCTAGCGGCCACAAAACGACGATAGAAATTGTTGGTGCTCCAAGGTGTATACGGAAGCAGGCCCTATCCAGGGCTGATTCGCCTTATGTTTTCTCCCTTTTAGACGAAAGCGAGGTCCGTTTCCGAGCTACACCTCTGGGCCTCTAGCTAGAAAACGGATCCACGTGACCGCGCTAGGAATACGTAGGACTAGTTAGCTCTCCCCTTGTTGAAGCTATCAACCTGAAATGGAGACAAAACTAAACCGAAAACAGGAAACCAGAGAAGTAAACAAGCCCCAGACTCGAAAGATGATGGTCAAGGTAGATTGCGTGTAAGGGGCAAGGGCGATTGGATGTAGTGTATAGGATTTTCAAGGGCGACAGCAAGTGAGTTTCGGAGCAAGAAGGCTACGTAACGGAATAATGGCACAAGAGGTTCTTGGGCGGAAACAAAGTCTGCTGCATCGTAAGCTTGAGGAATATCATTCGCAAGACATGCGACTGTTTAAAAAGACCAAGGAGTTTGTCTTCAAGCATCCCGAGGCACCAGGACACGCCTGAAAATTGGCTCGGCTGCCACAATCCTAACAACACCAATACAAATCACCATGACCCCGCCTAGCCACTTATCGAAACCCGCCACTTTGGGCGCTATTTGGAATCCCTGGATATACGCGCCTTTGATCCAGTTGATCGGTATCAAGTGAGATGAGGTTAAATTGGATGATCAGACGCATGGAGGGCCGGGCATAGCACCATTGAGTATCCTTGCCGGGGAGTATACTAGTACAAACGCCTATATTATGAGTGATCATATAACATTTTCCTTATAGGAAGCCAGCGGGATCAGCTCGCTCAATACATCTTATGAACTTACTCATATGCAATTTTTCCTGGATTTGACAACAGTTGAATTGTTTTTAGCTAATAAGCCGGAGCGTTGAAACGGAAGGTGGTGGGAATAAGCTGATGAATACGGTCCGATTTCGCAACACGTAAGTACATATGTGTCGCCACCCTAGACGATACCATTACTGTGACCAAACCTCTTCGATTACTCCCGCCGTATTCCGCGTACATTTGAAATGATTATCTGCGACATGTATCAACTCTACTTGACTTCCAGTCGTAAGATAGCCATCAGACCACGAGTCAGCATACGGAAGGCCTACACCCGAGGGAAACTGGCAAATTAAGGTTTTGCACGGTAGTCAGCAGTTGACAATCTGGGGTAGTGATTGGACCGGGAGGTGACCGACAGGGCCTATGCGCCATTGAAGCAAAGCTATATGCTTTTTACTTCTTAGTCTTGGCTGCAGCGATTGGTCGCATAATACTTACAGGCAGATGTGAGGACGACGATCGGAAAGAAAGTATACCGGCAAATCGTTGTTAAGGAATTGCTCTCCCGCTACCGATGTTTGTAAGGCGAACACGGCAGCTGGAGACATACTGGTCAACAACCGTTATAGCGTTGAAGCTTCCTTTGCGATACAAGAACACTCTCGACCTTGCAGCAGCTCTGATGGCCATCTTCGACTCTATTCCACGGGTGGCAACCTACTCGCCGCTCATTTCCTTATGCATCTCAGTCATCCTCGTCTCCATGGCTATCATGGCCATCATCGTCATCTCTACAATCGCCCACAGGCTTCTGACCCGCCGGATTCCCCATGATGCACCTCCTGAGGTTCGTGACAACTACCCAGTGATTGGTCCATGGGGATTTTGGAAGCGAAGGTGGGACTGGTACAAGGAACGCATATCTCAGTCAGAGACAGGCAACTTTTCCTTCCATGCAGGGCCTAGCATGGTCGTCGGATTGTCGGGCGACACGGCACGAAAGGTGTTTTTTGAATCGAGACAGCTACACGTGGGACAGGGCTACGCCGCAATCGATGGCGCACCAACCAATGTAGACAAGATACACGACGGCCAGGACACGGACGAAGGCATAGAAAAGTGGTTCATTGTTCGCCTCAAACAACTACTGAAAAGCCAGTATCTCCAAGACAGACTACCTGACCTTGTGGTCAATGTCAGCGAGTCCATTGACACTATTCAAAAGGACCCCACTGGCATCATCAACCCCTTTGACAGTGTTATGGGCTAGACCTTTCAGAATACTGTTAGGAGCCAAGAGTTATTGTATTGCTTAGGTCTATATAGTATGGCAGGTCTTTAGTGCCTACTTATAGTGTCCGTACTTCTACTAAGCTAAGATAGGGTAGGTATATAACCTACCCCATAACAGACAGTATATCTCACGTTATCTATAAATTGGCTATTGACATGTTTGGCCCAAATGAGTTCGTTAGCGATCCAGAAAAGCTTAAACAGACGCAGAGCATGTTTGTGAGCATAGACACCATCTCGAGTCCCACGTCCATGATATTTCCCAAGCTTCCCTCGTTTCATGACTTGAAGAAATTCCTCATAGGGGCACGCCTATTCTTCATGCTCCAGAGTACCATCAAGAAGCGTGCTACAAGCGGCAAGAAGCACAACGACGCAATGCAGATTCTGCTTGACCAAGGCCAGCGGATCTTCAGAATCACCATCTTCGTCTTCGGCGCAGTTCTTTCAGGACTAGCCAACTCAACCATGAATTCTGCAAGTATCATTTCCTACTTGGCAGCTGCCCCAGAGTGGCAGGACAAGGTACGGCAAGAAGTACGCGAAGTAGCGGCCAAGTACACCCGGGACACCAATGCTCCACTACGCCAACAGCTCGCCGACATTCCAATGAAGGCGTGGGAACCAGAGTTTCCTCTCTTTAGTGCGTGCTTGCGTGACTCGATTCGCTTGCACATTGTTCCTTTCTATTTCCGGAAGAACATGAGTGGCAGCGACATCCCGCTGGGTAACGACAAGGAAGTCATCCCTGAAGGCGCCATTGTCGCATATCCTTCTTACGACATCCACCTCGACCCCAACGTCTACGCCAACCCACACGAATGGGATTCAACAAGATACATGCCAGGCCGTTCCGAGGACACAAAGAAGCCGCACGGCTACGTGGGCTGGGGATCTGGTCTACATCCATGCAGCAAGTCCACCGACTCCACATGCATTGTCTCCTGAACTAATCTTGTTTCGCAGTCGGCATGCCTGCCGCCACTCTCCAAATAACCCTGATCGCAGCATACTTTGTCGCCTCGTTCGATTTTCAGCTTGTTGACAAGAACGGAAACCGTTTGTCAAAGGTGTCCGGTAGCGACGTGAATCAAACAAAAGTCACTAAACCCAAGAACCCGCCGTATGTAAAGGTTATATCGAGGGAGAAGTAGGTGGGACATGGAACACACACAGGGGGGAAAGAAAGGGCAAGAAAACTTATCATCACAATGAGTGGAAAATCCATGGTCTTTTGTATTCTTTGAAAGAAAGAAAAGAAAAACACTTTGTCTCAATTATATTCGTAGGAAGCGGTGAAACATACAGTGACCTTGGCTTTCTCATGCTGGTTCCGAGGCTTGTCTACCTAACATGGTGATGAGAGCGCGTCATGTCGGTTCGTGCTGCAGGATTCCGCCCTTCTCATCCTGCCCACATGCATATTCATGCCGTCTCGTAGCGCGCGCTATATCCAGTCACCACAACAGTGGCGTGAGCCCTATCGAACACAGTGACATCTTGTCGTTAGCTGTCATGGAATCGGTATACTTGGTCGGTTTTGTTTGATTTTCGGAGTTTCCACGGTCTTGCTATTCTCTGCATACATATTAGGCCAAGACCTGTTTCGATATATTCCAGAATGATACGGTAGCGTTGTGAAAGAGGGCGGGATTTGGGCCAAGCTATCAATACACGGTTAGGCTGGCTGCACGCTGTCTTTGCTGTGACGTGCGGGTGCCAAGGTGAAGCTTTGCCCAAAAGCCGCCCACTCCGCGTCTCGCCCCTGGCAGGGTGCAGGTGGCGTTTGGAACGGGCAACGAAACGCTGGGTTTCCACATACGATTCATGACCCGTCTCTTCTTACACGGCATCGATTTTTTTTCTTTGTTTGTTTTTGTATGGGTTTTTTCTTCTCCTTCTTTCAAACAGGCTTGCAAGGCTCCATAGTCTTGTGACTACTGTTTTGCCCAGAAACGATAAGCCCGAATTGTTTGAACAACAAGACCGAAAAGACCGTAACTAGATACGTAGTTTGCAAAAAAAAAAAACTAGTAGTTGCAGAATGACCTTCTCCTGTATTGTTTTGACCAAGCTGTGTATATTGCTTTATCGTCTGTCATGACCCGCAACGTGCCCACGTTGCCAAGGATCAGGACGAACCGAGTAAGCAGACGACAAGCTAGTACGACGGCCCGCTCATGTCATGCCATGGGTTTACATGGACGTCAAATCGCCAAGTGTGCCGCGCTTCCGTGGAACGGTAAGTAGTTACCCCCTGTATCTCGCTACCGCCATTTGCCAGTATTTCCATCGCAGTACTATCGAAGAATGCCAGCGGAAAGCGAAGTGCATGAAGAGCGGAAATTTCGACGGACCACAACCCCACTGCGAGCTAATCCGCGTCGAGCCTGGGCTCTCAGGAATCCGTGTTGGGACAGCGCGATGCTGAAACTTGGTGTTTATTGCTGGCCCCAGTAGGCCAAGTCCAGGTCGTTTACGACTTTGGCGTGATTGGCCGGTCCCGCCGTGTTTCATCCTTCCCAAGTGTGCGGCGAGGCTGCACAAGCGCCACTACCCTTCTTATAGCCTAGGGTAGGATATTCGCTAATGAAGAGGACCACTACCAAGAGTCTTGGTACGGCGGACAAGCTGCAAAGGAACGCTTCAGAACCACGATTGTGCATTGTTTCGTCGGGCAAATCAATGTCCGTCCAAACAACTTGCCTGAGTCGAGACGACCGGTGGCATGGCCACGGGTGGAGAGGCACGGGAGGACAGGGCAGCTGGAGCTGTGTATATAACATACAGACATGTCTCCTCCATCATATTCCTCATCAGCCTCTGAGTCCATCAACCAGCAGTCTTTTACATTCTTTTCCAGTCCTTCTTTTCCATTCTTTGCCTTTCGCAAACCACCTTCTTTTCAACCAACCATCTATACCAATCGTTACTGCTAGTCAGAATGAAGTTCTCCGCTGCTCTTATCGCCGCCGTCGCCCAAGTGGCTTCCGCTCACTACTTCATGGACAAGGCCATTGTCGGTGGAACCGAGACTGCTGCCTTCAAGTACGTTCGCCAGTCGACTCGTGCTACCAAGTACAACCCCATCAAGTTCTCCTCCAACCCCGCGGCCGACATCCGCGACAACTCCCACGTTGATGGTCCCGATATCGTCTGCAACCAGGGTGCTTTCTCCTCTGCCGGTAAGACTGATGTCCTGACCGTCAAGGCCGGTGACGAGATCCGCCTCAAGCTCGCTGTTGGCGCCAAGTTCCAGCACCCTGGTCCCGAGATGGTCTACTTGGCCAAGGCCCCCAGCAGCGTCAAGACCTTTGACGGAAAGGATGGCAACTGGTTCAAGATCCACGAGCTTGGTGTCTGTGACGGCGGCGACTTCACCTCCACCGCCTGGTGCGATTACAACAGGGATTACATTGCGGCCAAGATCCCCAAGGATACTCCCAACGGAGAGTACCTTGCCCGCTTCGAGCACATTGGTGTTCACCGCTCCCACGTCAACCAGCCTGAGCACTACGTCTCTTGCATGCAGATTAAGGTTGAGGGTGGCGGCAACGGTACCCCCGGTCCCACTGTCAAGGTAAGTAGTTCTCTCTCTCTCTCTTCTCATACAAACCACCCTCCTTTCTTGACTTAACTAACGACGGCTACAGTTCCCCGGTGCCTACAAGGCCACTGACCCATACGCCAACTTCAGCATCTACAACGGCCGCAAGGCTTTCCCCATGCCCGGTCCTACCGTCTGGAAGGGAGGTGCGGGAAGCGCCAGCGCTGACTCTTCCCCTGCTGCCCCTGCCAACAACGCCCCTGCTGCCACCACTCTCGCCACCCAGGCCGCTCCTGCTGCCACTCCTGCTCCCGCTGCTGGCTGTGCTGCCCAGTGGGCCCAGTGCGGTGGTATGGGCTTCAATGGCGCCAAGTGCTGCGCCAAGGGCTCTTGCAAGACCATGAACCCCTACTACTCTCAGTGCCAGTAAGCGGTTTCCGCTCTGGTATGATCAAAAAGGTTCAACGGTGAACGTGTGAACGATGATGGTGGATGGGCGACTTGTCTACCACTGTCCCCCCTTCTTCTTTGGCTTCCGGGCTGCTGTACAATCTTTCCCAAGGTCTTTCCTGGGGACTGGGCTACTTTGACGGCTAGTTTGTTCCCTGTATATACTCGAGGCTCCATATTTTCTTGCATATAAATCATTTAGTTCTCTCAATCCTGCTCCACTTGCCTTTTCTTGAGTCATGTCTACTGTGATAAACTGGTGTCTTTGAAGATATTCGTGAAGGTGCATCTTGAAAGTAGCCTATTACTTGAACATGCTTGCCAGTATTACACTGGGTTATGATGTTTTGTGGATTGAGAGCTGGAACAGTCGATGGTGGACAGGAACCATCTATACCAAGGTGATCTGTTGTTAACTGACATGTACATTGTTCAAGTCTTGCATAACCGAATATCAGCATATAAATAAATTTTCACTTTTCACCAATAATGTTTGTCACAGCGATACTTGCTGACAGCGGTATCCAGAGCCTATAGTTAATATAAACCTTTTTTTTTTTACAGAAAAGAAAACATGCGACGGTGGAAGTTGTAGGTAGCGTGACTTGAAGTTGTAGGTAGAGTGACCAAGGAGATGTGTATTTTGGCGATTATCGTTGTAGCAAGACTTCCTGCTCTTCTTTGGATATACCGAAGAGATATAGAAGGTCCAGCATGCTCTTTGAGTTTAAGCGGGCAGGAGCCTGCATCTGGACCTTTGGCTTTGCATGGAAAGCAACACCAAGACCGGCTACGCCCATCATGGGAAGATCGTTGGCGCCGTCACCGATGCATACTACTTGCTCCAACAGTATGTTCTCCTTGTCGGAAATTTCAAGCACGTGTTGTCGCTTCTTTTGTGCATGAACAATCTCGCCTGTTAATTCGCCGGTGAGAGTAGCTCCGTCGTCGGAGACGACGAGATGGTTAGCAAAGGCATAGTCCAAGCCGAGCTGCTCGCCCATCCAGCCGGTCAAGGGCGTGAAGCCTCCGCTTAAAACAGCAGTTTTGAAGCCTAGTCTTTTGAGTGCAGTGATGAGCTCCTTGACGCCTTCATTAAGCGTAATTCTTGGCTTTAAGGTTTCGAAGACGGTGCTTGGCACGCCTTTCAGCAACTTGCATCGCGCGCGTAGACTGGCCTCAAAGTCTAGCTCGCCGTTCATGGCTGCAGCCGTGATGGCGGAGACTTCTTTCTCGACACCAATCAGCGAGGCAATTTCGTCAATGACTTCTTGCTGAATCAGGGTGCTGTCCATGTCAAAGACGGCAAGTCGTTTGTAGCGCCGGTAAATTGTGTCTGCTTGAAAGACGCACTCGACACTCCATTGGCGCTCGAATTGTGCGACGGCCTCGTGTCTACGCAAGCTGTCGAGTGTAACAGCCTCAGGACTGGCGAGTGGAAAGGTCAGCTCGGCTACGCGACATTGCTTGGTTGCTTCCAGTCTTTTGGTGGTAATGGAGTCGCGTTGCAAGCCTGGGATGATTGTCGTGAGCACAGCCTCAAAGTCGGTTAGACAGTCGATGGGCCCGGTTTTATGAAAGAGAGTTGCAACGAGGCGGGTTGGGGAGACATTGGGGGCGGACATTGTGGGTGATTGAGGGGTGTAGTGAATGTTTGTTGGGGGGTCATGGCGGGGGAGGGGTGACAAGATTTTCGCAGGGGTCATGGCCTGGGATTCAGGTACGATAGTAGCGGCGTCGCCAGACGAGCCCCGCAACGGCATTTCATCAACAAGCACTTGGGAGAGGTGGGCACAATGTAAATTCACTGCAGACTCATGTGTATGGCCTTGTCATTCTCGATACTTGAAATACGACCAAGATCCAGAAACTGCACGCAGCGCCAACTAAGATCAAAAGCGTCCGTCCTATCATCTGCGACAACAAAGTAGAAACATTACAGCACAAGGAAACTGTCACCTTCGATCGTGATGTCTGTATCCGCATGACAGTCAGCAGGATTTATCGAGCCAAATACTTTGGTCTGGTTCATCTCGCTTGTGCTTAGCCAAGAGTGCTGCAAGTTTCGAGAGATGCATTTCAATACCGGTGGTATGCGACAGAGAATACATATCGTGGTTGGTAAGCGCAGAAAGTGTTTATAGAACGCGGTCTGTGATGACATGTGGAGTTTTGTATATAGAACAGAGCTGATAAGAAGAGTAGTGCTGACGTGTGCAAAAGCAACGTTGACGAGTAATGGAAAAGAAAGTGTTTGTATCACAATCAAGGCTTCTATTGGACAGTAAGTACTAGTGAGCTAACCGAATGCAAAATTGGAATACTACCACAATCTGCAGTGAGGCACAAGCTGTCAGCATTATAGCGAGTCTTTGAGTGGCTCGGCCGTGCACTGCGTAGGCACTGTCCAATGGCTGTGTATCGTTTGTAGGAATCCTGGAGAAAGCACGACTTTACAAGGATGTGCACCTGTATAATTGCTTTCTGCGGCTGATATGAGCCAAGGCATGCACGGCGTGTTGCTAGCGCAGCAGCTGTTTGCTGCCTGCGTACGTATTAGTACTGCTACCACTACTACTACTACTACTACTAATACTTGTCAGGCCTCCTTCCCCTCCCCACAAGACACTGCACACAACTTGTGACCGCAATGGACGAGTACAAGCCCCAGAAAGCAAACATCCTCCAGTCACCGCCGCTCGATATCACGGCGCCGTACGATGCCACCTGGGCTACGGACAAGGTCATCCTCATCACGGGCGGAGCGAGCGGGTTCGGAGCAGGCTTCGTTGAGAAGTGGGTGGCTAGCGGCGCGACGGTCATTGTGGGCGACATCAATGTGTCCAAAGGCGATGGCTTGTGTCGCCGCATCAATGCCCAGGCCAGCGGCAATGCAAAGGCGCACTTTGTGCATTGCGACGTAACCGACTGGGAGTCTCAAGTCAATCTGTTCAAGGAGGCGGTCAAGCTGAGTCCGCACGGCGGCATCGACTGTGTGGTTGCCAATGCAGGCATTGCCGGCCGCGACATACTCCAGGAAGGCTCTGGCCTGGATGCTGCTCAACCGCCCCCGCCCAAATTCAGCATCATCGACGTCAACCTCACCGGCGTGCTCTACACGACGCACCTGGCCTACTTCTGGCTGCCCAGGAACCCGGGTTCGTCGCCCTGTAGCATCAACGCAAAGCCTTCGACAAGCTCGCCCCGCGACCGCCACCTGCTCTTGCTTGGCTCGGTGGCATCTCTCTGTCCCATTGCCATTCAGCCGCAGTACTGTGCAGCAAAACATGCTGTGCTCGGCTTGTTCAGGACCCTCCGCGCTACCAGCGGCGTGCAGGGCATACGCGTCAACATGCTCTGTCCTTACTTCATCGACACGCCCATTGTGACGGCGGGAGCACGCTTCATCCTTGCAGGCGGCGCTCTGGGCAAAGTTGAGGATGTGGTTGACGCTGGCACCCGCTTTGTAGCCGACTCGCGCATCCTGGGACGTGCACTCTGCGTAGGGCCAAAGGTACATGTTCGTCAGAACCCGACAGGCGAATGGGACTTGACCATGCCCCACGACCCCAACAGCGTCGAGACGGCCCTGTTCGAGCCGTATGCCGACGAGTGGGAGGACCAGGACCAGTGGAACCGCAACTTTGTCAAGATTCTCAACACGATCCAGGCAGGCAGAGGTTGGTTTGGATGGGCACAAGACATTGTCAAGGCGACGCTGTACGCCCTGGGCATCGGACGCTGATTGTTGTGTGGTATGCGCTTTCGCGTCACTCACTCTGACGCTATTGTTATTACTGTGTAGATGCTAGGGTCGATCATAGTACAACACGAAGAGATTCGTCAATGTTGCTAACCCCGCCCCTTCTCGCCTGTCCCTGTAAGTTGGTCTGTGCACCCATTGGTTATCGATAACGTCACGTGAGATCCAGATCTCAATCTACGCTAAAATTTATAAATTTTGAATATTAGGCTGTCTTATTTTTATCATTCTGGCACATACGGCCATAGGAAATTTAGCGCTAGCCATCCCGTCCGATCTGGCCTATATAAGCAATTTACCGGCGGATTAGTAGTTAGGTGGGTGACCACTAGCGAATCCCCGCTGCCGTATGTTTTTGGTTTTATTTTAGAACTTAGATTTTGGCGGATTTTGCAAGAGTCACGTGACTGGCTCTTGGCATGCGGGTATGTACGGTACAAAGCACCAGGAGCCAACGTCAGGCAATGAGTGTCAGAATCGCCGCGTTTCTATTTTGGTTGCTGCGATTGTCAACACTGTAGGCGTAGAGCATGTTGGACAGTCTGGGTGCCGCTAAGGCGTCTTCTGGAACGTGCCTAGTGTGCTACCAGATCGCCGTCGATGCATCTGCGAACCAAGATACTTATGCAGCTAGGCCAGGATGCTACTAGCCAGTTGTTGCAACGGCCCTATAGGATTCATTTTCAATTCAACAGCGCACAGCGGATTTGTCTAGAGACTGTAGCTTACAACCAGCTCCTGTGAGTTCCAGCGTCAGACTCGTCTCTCGGCTAAAAACGCCCAGGCACAAGGCGGCATTTCAGCCAATCAAACCACAAGCTGCTAGTTTCCGCGGGGCACTTGCCGGCTCACCCATCTGCGCGTGTGATGTCATGCCGCCTGCGGTTCCTGCTGCTGGCCTAGCCCAGTCCATCTATTTTCCTGCCACCATGATTCGACACCATCTGCACCTGCGGCCCCCTTTGCACACGTTGGTTGACCGCATTGGGACGAACATTGCCATCACCAGAACAATTGTCACCGCTTGCAGACAAGTGGAGCGGCTAGCCGGTCTAGCCAGAACCTTTTGCTCTTTGCTGTCTAGTCGCTACCATCATCGCTCCGTCACTGCCCGAGTCTGTACGTGTTGTTGACTTGCAAACTGCGCGACCCACTGATCCATCAACCATATCTGTATGTCTACCGGGAACATGGCGGAAACTATGTCTTCGCCTCAAGACAAAGGCGGTATCGCGCCTGTGGGCATGGTCATCGAAGAGCCGTCTTTTCCGAATATCCCTGGACAGGAATCCAAGACGACATCCCATGCGACATCGCCCGTTGAAGAAACCCCGGCTGTAGAAATGGTGCAACAGAAGAGCGTCTCGCGAAAAGACTACGGAAACAAGACACGCGCACCCTTGGAAGACACACCGAGCAACCAAGACTACTTTAGCCCAAAGTCGCGTCCAGCACAACAGCAAAGATGGGCGACCGAACGACCCAAGCCCTCCGTAAGGTACTCGCTGCTCGCAAAGGAACAACAGCCACAACACAAGAGGCCAGTGCAGCCAGGACGGCATGCGACCATAACCTTTGACGCCGACACCGACTCTTCAGACTCCTCCGACGATGAGCATGTCTACTCACGCAACAAAAGTCTTGGCCATGCCGACGAGCTTACTGCTCAGACGACTCGTAAACCACGTCCCTTCTCCCGACTCCGAATCGCCAACGAACACTTCAATACAAAGGCCAGGGTTTCAAGAGCAGATGGACGGTTGAAGCTGAGCATTCTCGAAAAGAACTTGGGTAGCGGATACGTGGCAAAGGCTCTGGGGACCATTGTAAAGAAACATGGCAACGACGAGGACCGCGGGCCAGAATCATACAATGAGATAGATACCACCAAGGTTGCCCCGGAAGATGACGAGATGGAGCACAATCCTGCAAGGCGAGTGAAGCTTAACATTGTCATCATCATTATCGGGTCGCGCGGAGACATTCAGCCATTCATTCGGATTGGCAAGATTCTCAAGGACGACTATGGGCATCGGGTCCGTCTGGCCACACACCCAGCATTCAGGGACTTTGTTGAAAAAGACTCGGGCTTGGAATTCTTCTCGGTTGGTGGCAACCCAGCAGAGTTGATGGCTTTCATGGTCAAGAACCCAGGTCTTATACCCAATATTGAGACGATAAAAGAGGGCGAGATTGGCCGCAGGAGAGCGCAGATGTATGAAATGTTCCAGGGCATGTGGCGGGCATGTATCAATGCGACAGATGATGAGACTGATACGACCAATGTCAAGATGAGTAAGTCATGTCTATTTCACTTGCTGACCCCTTGTAAAGGAATGGGACCAATTAACAATTGTGTCTCGTAAAGTAACGTCAGGGTCTTGTGGTGTTTCCTCAGCTAACCTCCTACAGTGGGTGACAGAGCCCCCTTTGTTGCAGATGCCATTATCGCCAACCCTCCCAGCATTGCACCTCAGCACATTGCTGAAAAGCTGGGTATTCCACTTCACATGATGTTCACGTAAGTATCAGAACCCATGCACAAGCATTACCATTGACGTGTATAAGCTTTCCATACACACCCACGAGCCAGTTCCCTCATCCGCTCGCAAACATCAAATCCAGTAATGTCGAAGCGACGTACAGCAACTTCATTTCTTACCCGCTAGTCGAGATGATGATGTGGCAGGGTCTAGGCGACCTCATCAATCGCTTCCGTACTCAAATTCTGCATCTTGAGGAAGTCAGTAAAATATGGGCGCCCGGCCAACTGTATCGGCTCAAGGTTCCATACACGTACATGTGGTCTCCAAGCCTTATATCGAAGCCGAAGGATTGGGGTCCAGAAATTGACATTTCTGGGTTTGTCTTCCTCGACCTTGCGTCGTCATTCAAGCCGCCAGCCGAACTGCAAAAGTTTCTAGACGATGGACCTCCCCCTGTGTATATTGGCTTTGGCTCGATTGTTGTCGACGATCCGGACGCATTCACCGAGCTAATTTTCGAGGCCATCAAGCAAGTCGGTTGTCGTGCCCTGGTGTCCAAGGGCTGGGGTGGCTTCGGTTCGAATGCCGACTGCCCAGAAAACGTCTTTATGCTTGAAAATATTCCTCACGATTGGCTCTTCCCTCGCTGCAGTGCTGTCGTACATCATGGTGGAGCGGGAACCACAGCCATCGGTCTCAAGTGTGGGATACCGACAATGATTGTTCCATTCTTTGGCGACCAGCCTTTCTGGGGTGCAATGGTCAGCAAAGCAAAGGCAGGGGCGCACGAATGCATACCCTACAAGAAACTCACACCCGAGCGTTTGGCCGAGGGTATCAAGCAGTGTCTCACAGATGAAGCCAAGGAAAATGTCAAGAAGATCGCTGACAGCATTGCCAGAGAGGGTGACGGGGCGCTCAACGCTGTGCGCTCATTCCATCAGTCTTTGCCACTTTCAGGGGAGGGAAGTATGCGATGCGACTTTCTCGATAACCGCGCTGCTGTCTGGAAGATCAAGAACACGCATGTCAAGCTATCTGCATTGGCTGCTGAGATACTGGTTGAGACGAGGAAGCTCAAATGGAGCGAGCTACGTCTCATCCGTCATTACGAATGGAACGACTTTGGTGGACCTGGCGAGCCTATTACTGGAGTCTGGGGCAGTCTCATGAGTTCTTTTTCGGATGCCGCCGCTGGTGTCGGTGGTATGCCTGTTGAATTTGGCAAGAGCATTAGAAAGAGAGAGAAGATCAGGGAAAAGAAGCGCAGGCTACAAAAAGGCAACAACCACAAGAAGGCCGCACGGGCGAAGATAGATACTGGAACCTCTGAGGAAGTCGAGAATGATGTGGACAATCAACACAACGGTAGCAGACCGCAGCCTACCCGCAATGAGACAACCCTTTCGAAGATATCCGAGCCTAGCGAAGACTTGGCTGATGAACTTGGACGCGAGGCTGCTTTTGGCTTCCGAAAGACCGGACACGCCATTGTTCGTTTTCCTATGGAAATGACACTTGCAATCACTCAAGGTTTCCACAATGCACCACGCTTATACGGTGATGAGACGGTCCGCCGTCCGCCTCGGGTCACTGGGTTTCATTCTGGGACACGCGCTGGTCGTGATGAATTTCTCTATGGTGTCAGGGACGGTGTCTCGGGTCTCGTCATGCAGCCATACCATGGGGCGAAAAAGAATGGAGTGATGGGTGCCTTGCGAGGCGTCGGCTTTGGAGTTGGCGGCTTCATTCTCAAAGATATTGCAGCCTTGCTTGGACCCATGGCATACATGATGAAAGGACTAGACGCTGAATACATGAAGCGCTACCAGCCGACCAACTACCTCCGCCGCGCACGCATTGCCGAAGGACAGCAGGAAATGTTGATGCTGACTTCGACGTCACGCACTGCAGCTCAGCCACCGGGCAAGGGAAGCGCTGAGACGAAGGAAAGCATTGAAGAAAAGGTCAGTGTGCGTTGGAATGCGCTCCAAAAGATCATCACAGAAGACAAGAAGCGGCACAAGAATGGCCTTGTCGGTTCGCTCACAGGACGAGGCGACGAAAAAGATGGGCAGCGGGTAGGTCGCAAGAGCACTGAAGTATCGAAAAAGGATACATGTCGCTCAATGTCCAAGGGACGAGCTAATGCGCATGCGCCTAACGACAAGCCGGGACGCGTGTATCCTGACGAGCTGGCCAAGACCGACGATGACGGTGCAGCAAAGAAGAGCATGGAGAGCCAGGCGCGAGTCGGCATGAATAGAATGAGTACTGCACCCACGACGACGGTGGAACGGAATCAACATGGGGACAGAGAGATGCTGCATGTTCCTTTTGTGCAGCGTGGTGGTGAAGGTCGTGAAGCGAGGAGGAATAGTTGCGGTCTACTGGACGATGATGGGAAATCCGAGAGTACTAAGGTGGAAAGCGAGATGGATGAGGCGATGAGTGCGAGGCAAAAGGTAGATGGTGTGGCAGTGGAGGGTAGGACAACGCCGGTGCATGTTGTCTAGGGAATGTTTAGTTGCCAGCCAGCACACAACAGACTGAATGTGGTGATTGAGGGTTTTTGTTTCCATCTTTACTAAGTTTTTTTTTCTTCCTTTTGGTAGTTATCGAGATACCCCTCCTCCCCCTTCTTCTTGCTATTTTACTTTCCTTCTTGTTGGTATTGCATAGTCTGATAGAAAGTTAATGTCTGTACTTGGGATCAAACTGCGACAGTTAGCACAAGTATCTCAATCGACATAGTCATACTGACTTGTGTACACTTATTTCCCGCAAGTAACAAGAGTAAGAAGAGTGGTATATTTCTCGATTCTTATTCAAAACGGCCAAAGCCAGGATATCAATAATTCCCTATATCTACACATTCGCTTTTGAAATTACTTTTATGCAAAAAATTCCGCACCCACACCAACGATCAAACCAAGGTCACGTCTTGACCGTCTCGACCCAACCCTCTCGATTCCGAGCAACCTTGGACATATCACCACCCGCCAATTCCTTTGCCAGGCCATCTTTTGCTCCCCTCCGTCGAGCACGTTCACGCACCGATTGCTCATCCTTTTCGCACTCCTTGATTGCTTCTACTACTTCCAACTCTTCAAACCGCGCGTCTTGAAGATTGAGCTTTTGCCACTGGGGATGCTTTTGGCAGCGTTTCTTCAGACAGGCTGTTTCTTTGATTTCAATGTCCATTGTGTCGACGTCGTTTGCGTCTGGTATTGAGGATACTTGCTCGTCGGTGGGAGAGAGGGTCGAGTATTGGAAGACTGCACGGCCGTGCTTGCTGTTGCGCCAGAGGAGGAATTCGGCGTCGGACCAGCTTAGTCGCGAGTCGTAGCCGCAAAAGTCTTTGATCTTGATCTTTTCGCGGTCGGCGAGGCGGACGGCCTGCTCTTTTGCCATGCTGACGAATTTTTCTCGGTCCTTGAGTACTTCGAGCCTGTCCTTTAGCTGTACTTTTTCCTTGTGTAGAGCGGCTAATCGGTCGGTTTCGGCAGCGGTCAGGGAAAGTTCTTCGCTATTGGAAGGGAAATTTGAACGCGAGGGGGATGCGGTTTGTGGAGGGGTGAGGACGCCAGTCCCCAGGTTCTTAAAGGCTTGGATGTTGGGGGACGCGTCGACGAGGGCCTTGAGGTCTTTGGCTCGCAAGGTGCCGCCAAGCGGAGTCGGCTCTTCTTCGTCAATGGACTCACCGTCTGTCGTCGTCTTCTTCTTCTTCTTTTGTTTTTCCCTTGGCCCATTTGCGCCTTTTGCACCAGCTGTCCGCTGCAATTGTTCCGACATGAAGAGTAGTCCACAGTCGTCAGAGCAGTATTTGCTTTCCTTGCCCTTTGTGAGACGCGCTGGTTTCCGGCAGCCATCCCGCCTGCACATGGGCTTCCATGTGGTATGACCCCTTCCGTTTTCTTCACATAGTGGGCAGATGAATCTGTCGACCAGCTCTTCGTCGGCCTGCTTCATGTTGACACAGTCGCCATGGAACCAGTCGTCACAGCCACCATCGCAGCCAATCATCCATCGGTGGTTGTCCGGCTTCTTGCAGAGACAGTACAGGTTGTGGTCTTCAGAGGAGTCGCCATCATCGTCGGAGCCGTGAGCCTGTGACGAGTTGTCGGGGGCGGGCGAGGACTCGAGGGGGGTACCGGCATGGGAGCTTCTCTTGAAGCCGCGGGGAGGGGGTTTGGGAACGCGGGCGGTGGGCGTGACGGAGCGCGTGGCGCCGTCATCGGTCTCGACCTTGCGCTTCTTGTTTGGTTTTGATGTCTTTGCCGTGCCCTTTTTCCTCACGGCAGAGGCAGAGGCGGGAGCTGGTCGCTTCTTGGCTGAAACCGGAGCAGGCTTGGGCTCTACGGGCGACTGGAGACCGTCAGCGCCCATCTGGTTTCTCCTGCGCAGCCCCAGATCGCTCTGCTTTGCAATCTCGAGCGCCCTGAGGGCATCCGAGTCGACGTCCTCGCCCGGAACAGAGGCCTGTCGGTCTGGGTGCGCTGTGCCTGCTGCGGGCGTATTTTCACGCGGCGTGCCCGAGGGCTCATGCTTGATCGAGGGCTGGGGTGAAGGCATTGCCGGTCTTGGAGTCGCGTCGTGCTCTTGGTCTTGCAGGGCGGCGGGCTCTGTGTGGGCGGGGGGATACTGCTGCCCATTGCCCAGCGTGGCCAGCGTGGTGAGGGCATCGGTGGCATCGTCGGTCGAGGTTGTCGTCGTCATGGTGTTTGGTGTTTGGGTTTGTGGTGGTGAGGTGCTTGTGGTCGTGCTTGTCGTGGTCATGTCGGCGCAATGGGCGAGCGATGGGCGAGCGATGGGCGGCGGTCGGAGCGGGCGTCGTGATTGAGGAGAGAGTCGATGCTGCTCAAGGCGGCCAAAGCAGTCATGACGCGAGGGCTGTGGAAGAGGCCGACGCCGTAGCCACGACGGCTGAGGCTGCCTTGTTCCAAAATGGTCCCGTCCCGTTGGCCTTGGCGCCCTGCTTTCTTTCTTTGTCCTTCTCTCCACGACCACGACCACGACCACCACTCCGCCCCAGCCATCTTGTCATTCCGAGGGACAAAACCACCACCGCTTGTCGTCATGCACATGCGTCGGCCCTTTTCTTCTCTTTCCGTCAGCCACATCAGTTTCCCTCGTGTCCGTTGCGAATTCTCACACGGTACAAAATTAACTTTGCTCTAAGTCGCCGCAATTTCCCTTTCCCAGCAGCATCATACGATTACGCCTCTTTTGAAACCCCGACAGAAATGGACGATTGAACATGTTACCTTTTGAGAGGTGCACAATCCAACACTTGTTCCGTACAACCATGATAATTGCAACAACATTGGTATAGGCAAACGAGCAAACAAAGTAATAGCAACAAGTCAGAACAACACAGGAAAGCCAGTCAACATTTGTGACAACATATTACAATTGAAATATTGAGAGCCACCTTGTCGTATCCTGAGCGTAACAGACATCATGAATCCCGACTATCGCTCGTTTGCTTTCAAAACTGCTCTCCACTGTGCCGCCATGGTCTCGCCCACGGCTTCTTCCAAACTCTCAGCATCTCTACCATTCTCTCCATGCTCAAACACGTGCATAGGTCCTAGTCTACTGTCTTGCTTTCGATATGGTGACCATGGCAGCTTTCCGTAACAAAAGTCCAACCACGCAGCTCGAATCTGCGCTACGTTGCCTGCGTGCGGACCTTGCAGTTCCTTGGCCACGAGATCTGAAGCCACATCAAAGAGAAACACGTCATTCACAGCGTGATTGGCACGTCCGAATGACCAAGCCCACTTTTCATATGGATTCTTACAGCGAATCTCATAGAGTAGGACGTTGGCAGGGTGGTGGTCTGCAATATGCAGGGGCGGAACCCTGAATGCCACATCGGCCAATAGCTCTGCCCATTTGTACATTGCAGATGACGGATGCTCAAGAGCAGAGGTGAGGTCGTACGCTTCCGTGACACTGGCATGTGCGTCTGGAAATGTTTCTGGAGAGACAATCATGCCGTTGGATGATGCAAGATCATAAATTGTTGCACGCATCCGGTTGTCGGGTGCAGGTTTCATTGATGGTATATCGTCTAGGAGAAGTAATTGTGTGAGATCGGCCTACAAGTTGTTGTTAGTACCCTGGCATGCACGGTAAATCATCAAAAAAAAGAGGAAGACCTGCCTCAAAATCACAAGCGCCTATCATAAGATCTGGCGCTTCTTCATCTCTGTAAAGTTTAATAATACTTTGCATAGTCGCCCCTGGGATCCAGTCCCCATCGATGTATGGATGGTATATGCCAGCTGATATCGGCTTGACAAGTTCCTCGACAGGTATCGATTGTAACAAGTTTACTGGATTTCCTTGTGGATTACTGTTTTCATCAGAGTGTCTGGACACATATGCAGTAAACTTTTCCTGTTGGTAAGCCATGGGCATGGGGCCGATACCTATCAGCGTCCCACTCGCCAAAATTGCTCTTTTAAACTTTCGGGCAGGAAAAATACTCAAGTAATGCGCTGAGCTTCCTCCAGCACTAGTACCTTGTATGGTCATGTTTCCAGCGTCACCGCCGAAGCCGGATATGAATTTGTTGCACCATTCTAGTGCCTGTCGCTGATCGTGCAATCCATAGTTACCGACTGCCTCGCCGTGTTCTTTATTGAAAGCTGCGAGTTCTTCAGATGCAAGGAATCCCAGTGGCCCCAAACGGTAATTGCAAGAAACCACTACAATTGGTTGATTGCGAGCTGCACTCGCGCGTACAAGATTTGTCCCGTCGTAGATCTCGCGTCCAGCAAGTTGAGTAGACTGCTTTCCACCCACGAACGCTCCACCGTGGATGAAGAAGAAAACCGGAAGTTTTCTCGCCGAGTCGCCCTCAAGAACGGATCTAGGAACTGTGATGTTGAGATTGAGACAGCCGAATTCGTCCTGTGGGGGCTCCGGCAATGGTGGGAAATCTTCTGGTAATAATCCTTCCCAGTAGGAAGGGAAGGGCAGTGGTGGCTGCGGACAATACGGTCTGCTGTTGTGTCAAACTTGAGAAGATGGGATTTTTACATGCCGCTAGCTTACCCAGATTTTCTGGCATCAAATGGCTGTTGCGGCAATGACTCCAGAAGACGCGCCTGGCGAAACCGCGCTGGAATGGTAGCAAACGGGATACCGCGGAATTGCACTACATCATCCCCTCTCGCAAGTCCAACAAGCTGGCCGAGGTCTTTGTGTTCCAATTTGTATTCTGGAAATGAGTCAAGAGCGTCATCTTTTGCAATAATCATGATGGCTTTTTTGTTTGGGGAGTGGTGTTCGTCAGAGTTGATCAACTATGTGTGCCAGCTCAACAACAAGCAACGTGTTCTGTGAGACGATACATATAATACCGATATAAGTAGAAGGTAAGCTTCTCCATGTCGTTCCGCAATTGCAACAGTCGCGTGGCCTGGGCACATTTCGGCAGTTACATGTGCTCCATGCCCCGAGTCGACTACTCCTCCACGCCGCGCTATGCCTGAAATGGACAATCCCCGCAGTCGGATGAACACACTTTCGCACGCGTCACCGGCCTATCTACACTTGACCAAGGATTTTCCATACGACCTGGAACTATGCTTCGTTTTCTGCAAGTTTCAATGCCAGTGGCGTCCCGACCGCCGCCTCCCCAATATTCCACGTGCTGAGGGCCCCTTGGCCTAGTTGGTATGGGGAAAATCTGGGGTAGGTACATGCACACCATTCGTACTACATAAAGACGCGATTGCTCGCCAGAGTTGGATATTGAGCCAACTGCCATCTTCCAACTACTTCATCAAGCATCTGACTCAGACATCATGGGGACATCTGTTGATGCAACACATGTTGCGGTGCAGCGTCGATCATGGGCTTCACACATCATTCACAACCCACGATTGATCTACTCCAGCTTCACACTCGCGCTGGTATTCTTTACTTTTGGCTTCGATGGCTCTGTCATGGGCGGAATCCTCGCAATGCCCCCCTTCATCCACCAATTCGGAACTGGCAAGAGCCCCACAGGACCAGTTCTCACGTCTACCGATGTCAGCGTCATGACCGCCGTTCCTACTACTGGATGCCTTCTCGGACTTCCTCTCGCCGCATATTGCGGAGATAGGTGGGGAAGACGCAAAACCCTCATCTTTGGATGTGTCTTGAGTGCTGTAGCTGCAGCGATCCAGACAGCTGCCTTTGGCATGGCACAGCTGGTCATTGGGCGCTGGCTGGCTAATGCAGCCATCTTCCTTTTCATCGTAATGGGTTCGACCTTCTTGGCCGAAATCGCGCCAGACGAGCTACGTGGTGTGCTCATTGGGCTGTCCATTGTCACCATTGATGCAGCAGCCGTGCTTTCCAACGGGATCAACTGGGCTGTCAGCACCGATATGACCCAGTTCGCGTACCGATTCCCTATGGGCTTGCAAATCGCCTTCCCTATCATTCTGGTCATTGGCTTCATCTTCATAGATGATTCTCCAACCTTCTACTTGACTCGCAGTCAAGACTCGCGAGCACTCAAGAGCTTACGCACGGTGCGAAGAGGGTACAATGAGCAGGAAATCGAAGCAGAGTTTGCGGCGTTGAAGGCACAGGCAGCTCTGAGGGCCCAGGATGTCGAGGTACCGTGGACACACATCTTCCAAGGAGTCAATCTTCGCCGCACGTTGCTGGCGCTCAGCATTGCCAACATGCAGCAGCTATCTGGCATTGTATTTGCGACCAACTACGCTGTGATTTTCCTCGCTACTATCGGTAGCAAAATCAGCCCCTTTCTTCTTGCCCTAGCAACCTCGATCCTGGCCTTTAGCGGCGCAATAGCCGGCCTGTTCGTAGTAGATGCGGTTGGTCGACGTCCACTTGCGCTGACTACCTTCACCATCTTGTTCTTCATCGACCTGGTTATTGGTGTCATGGGATTTACCGACTACCTCCACAACCAGAGTCTTAGCCAAACCATTGCCGCTTTCTGCTGCATGTTTGCCTTCTTCTTCGCAGCGGGTTTCGGGCCGTTGACATATGTCGTTTCGGGAGAGATGCCAACTGCTCGCTTGCGAAACAAGACGAGTGCCTTTTCCTTCTTCGTTTTGGCCTGCTTCTCGACTGCTGTCCAATACATCTTCCCGTACATTGCGAATGCTCCGTAAGTTTACCCATCTCACTCGCCCTTGGGCGTGTAGTGATTGCCAGTGATACTAATAAACCATCAGTGCCCACCTTGGACCCAAGACGTATCTCATATTTGCGGGATGGATGCTGGGATGCATCATTGTCACTTTCTTCTGGTTCCCTGAGACCAAGGGACGTACCCCGGCTGAGCTGGATGAGATGTTTGAGGCGCGAATTCCTGCGCGGCAATTTAAAAGTAAAGACTTTGTCCTTTGGCAAACAAAATAACCCCCTACTAACAGAATCATAGATTATGTGTGCAGTGTGAACATTGAAAACTTCATGAGCGAAGATAAGGCTGGGCTGCAAGTGACGCAGATTGAGAAGTTGTGAGATGTATCTTGCCAACTTCAGAGAAATCGTAAATGGGTCGATTTGGGTTAAGCAGGTCCTAGCAAAGGTGTTGTCTTGCATTTACTCGAAATGATGGCGCGGCGAGGAGCTATCCTGGATGGAAACGATTACAATAATTCACGCAAAGTTTTCTCGACGTATACTATGTTACAATATGGCCACATGCACTTACTGAAAAAGCTTTTGTCATTCCAAGTTGGTACTTTTCCTTTGAACCATGACTTTCCTCGTAGATCTTGGCCGAACCCAATGACTAAGAACCTTGGTGTTCATTTGTCTCTAACACATGCACCTTGCAAATACTCAAACAAGATCCAACTCATATAGCATCCGCATATACGGCTTCAAGTACGGATGTTTCCCGCCCCGAAACGACGAAAAGATGACCAGAAACCGATTTACGAAATCAGCTAAACGTGGCGTACTTTTCGGGCACACTATCTCCTCGTGCCAAGTGCTCCTTTCTCCCTCATTCAAAGCAGGCTCGATGACCGACCCCACTACCGGCCACGATAGCACAGCCTCTCTGTCCTGACCTGGCGCAGCACTACTTGACAAATGCGGCATCGCCGGGCCCAGCTCGGTCGGTTGCGTCGCCTTAATCGCACTGGTAACGATATCATAAAGTTTTTCGACCTTGCAGAAAAAGAAAAAAAGTTTGAGCTTCGATAATCAACTTCTATGGATACACATAGGGATACTTACAAGTCCGACTCCGTGGCATTCTAGCGACGTCATATCGAGGGATTCGCACGTGTCGATACTGTCGCGTGCGATTGTTAAGGCGTAATCCGGTCGCATCTGGACGACTGTGTTTTCTGCGTGCAGGAACCCGTGGCGGGAGCCGAGATCCCACAGGATGTGGCAGATCCAATGTCTCGTAACCAAGACGTCTGCTCGCTGGGCGTCGTTTGGGGATTTGTGCGTGGACATGGGCTCTGTGTGTCGTTGCAGCAGCATGGAAACGGATCTCGCGGAGATGTGTGTGGGGTTTTGCTCCTTCCAGCATTGGTTGCGCCAGCATTTGACGAAAGTGGAGTCGACGAAGTCGATTAGGTCGACCATGTAGCCGAGGCCTGCGACGACTTTTTCGTCGGGCTGGCCGGAGTTGGTGGAGAGTTGGGTTAGGGTGGTGCGGACGATGTGGAGACGGCTGCTGGTAAGAAGGTAGTCGTTTATGGGGCTGTCTCTTTGGATTGCGTATACGCTATCATTATACATTAGTGATAGCGATAGAGGATAGAAGGGGGCACGATTGCATGGCCACATACCGATGAATTACCGTTAAACAAAGAAATGTCCTTAACCTCCTGTTTTTCTCATCCCTCGAGATATTCTCGTACGTTTGCGGATCATCCAATCCCATTGTTTCAGCCAACGTAATTGCTTCTCGAAGCCGAAATCTAGCAGCGTGATGATTACCTTTGGAAAACTGGCAACCGAACAAAAAGACACTCGTGAGGACATGCTCCAAGACTGGGTTTTCGCCAAAGTCGGCATGAGAGTGTAGTCGTACGGCTTCTGCGAGTAGCCATTCTGCTTTGTCAATGTCAACTGCTGAGCTGGTGTTTTCAGATCCTTTTTGCATCATCTGGAAGACGGTCAAGGCGCTGACTGCATGGATGAGTGCGTTGAAGGACTGATCGTACAGGGGCCGTTGAGCGTGGATGTTATCGACAAGGTAGGAGCGCTCAAAGAAAGGCATTGACGCGTGCAGTCGGTCGAGGAAGAGATTGATAATGTGCAAGATGCTGTCGGTTGACACAGAGCGCGGAATCTGGACAGTTGATTCCAGAGGATAACCGAAGTTTTGATTATCCATAGACCATGGCGGGTTCGCGCATGGCTCTGGTATCGTATTCACATGTGATGAAGGGAAATCTCCAAGCGGTGCAGCATCTGCTTGGACTGGAATTGTAGTACCAGGGGCCATGCTGAATTTGACCCAGTCGAAGCTGTCAATATCGACATGCTGGTTGATTGACTGGAGAAAGTCATCGAGGGTCTCGCTCGCCTCTCCAGTACTAATATCTTGAATATCTATCATTTCGGGCGATGAACTTGCTGGTCCATCTTCAAAGTCTCTCTCGTCCGAGAAATCGAGGCTTGGTGTCTCGAGATTGGGTGCCTCGATCCTTGTAGAGCTGGAAGGTGTTTCATCTGCAGGGGGTTTGGTACTTGGTCTTGATCTCTGTTAGCATTGCATCTAGCAGTCTCAAGGCTTCTCATTCGGTATCAATAGCCAGATGATTCCAGTGACCAATCAACCACGACAATATAAACGCATTGAAAAGACCCACATGAGTTGTGTGCGTCGGCGATACTGTGATCGGCGCTTGTATGTACATGGTCTATGATTTGCAACACATGTATGGCACGGTGCATGTCGACTACACTACCGAAACAGGTATAGTTAGAGTGCTTGTTGATAGCTCAGGGACGGATCATCAGTAAACCTACTTTGTTCTTGTGCACAAAACATTGGTCGCATGAGCGTGTTTGGACAGTTCGGACGAGAGTGCTGTCGAAAATGATCTCCCCACCCATTGTAGCTACGTGGGCAGAAAGTAAACCATTGGTTGTCTCGCCTTGGGCATCACCTCAAGTCGACGCGTCGCTCCGCTGAGCTCTGAATCGTGGTATGACACGGATGATGTGGTATGCTCTGCCAGACACGCATAGAGCTGCAGGTGGTTTTCGGCACGACCTCACGTGATGCTTGTGCCCCACGGGGTAATTGCCGGGGTCCCATTGACAACGCAAATGCCGAAGCGGCTCCATTACCCATCCTCCTTACTATGCGTCAGCCCCGCTCACTAACCCGTCTCGTCGAATCTCCATCTCGCTACGAACCGCATTTTGACCATGGCTACAACTCTTTGGGCAAATCCCCATGATTCGACATCGAGGCTCTTAGTATCAGGTCGTGGGTTGGTTGAACGCCTTGCCATTGACTGCAATATCCACTCTATTCTGTAGAAGCACTTACCCGCAGCTGCCGTCAAGGTTACTTTGAAAAACTCTCCCGTAACTACCCAGGATGGTCTTTTTAATGGAATGAAATCTGATAAACTACACTGCTCAACCACTCTCCTTCTAAGCCTTTGGCGCAATGACTTCACATGTGCTAGTGTCTACACCATCCACCACTCCATTCACGTTCAGAAAGGTGCCCAGAGTGAGCTTATTCTCTGCATCTCTAGTCTCCGAAACCACACCTGAACCGAGTGAGCGATGGCGACCACGCCTACATCTCGCGGCTCCTCGTGGCTGGCTCAACGACCCTTGCGCCCCTGGATACGACCCGGTCAACAAGAAGTATCATCTAGGCTTCCAGTGGAATCCAAACAGCACCGAATGGGGTAACATTTCCTGGGGCGCAGCAACATCCCATGATCTTCTCACGTGGAAAGTCTCAGATCACCCATCTATGCAGCCCTCTGCACAGTGCGACTCGGGCGGTGTGTTCACTGGCTGTCTTGTACCTACTGCAATCGACGGTTCAGAGAACGGCGTCCTGACAGCGGCATACACATCAGTGTCTCGTCTCCCGATCCACTACACGCGGCCATATTTCCGAACATCAGAGGCCGTCGCTTTGGCTACATCAACCGACTCTGGCAGGACATGGACTAGATACGTGAACAACCCTGTCCTCGCAGAGCCTCCGCCGGGCATCGATGTGACCGGCTGGCGAGATCCGTTCGTAGCCCCCTGGCCAAGCATGGATAAACTCGTTAATCAGCAACGGGCGAACCGAGACAGCAAATCTTTGTATGCTGTTGTAGCAGGAGGAATTCGAGGCAAGACACCAACAGCCTTTCTCTACCGAGTGGACGCCAATGCGCTGGATGCGTGGCAATATCTTGGCCCTTTGATCGCCCCTGGCTTGAACTTTTGCCCTTCACCGCGCTGGACAGGTGACTTTGGCGTGAACTGGGAGGTGAGTAATTTTGTATCCCTGGCAAGTGCAGATGGTAAGGCATGCCGCGACTTTCTCGTTTGTGGCGTCGAAGGTCGGTTAGCTACCGATGACATGATTGGCACCAAAGGCAACTTCCGGGCGACCAATGCGCAAATGTGGCTTTGCGGTAGCCTCGAGAGTGTGCCGGATGTGCATATGAAGTTCCGGTTCGGAGGCAGATTGGATCATGGCCTGTACTATGCTGGCAACTCGTTCTGGGATCCGCAAACACAGCAGCAAGTCATATACGGCTGGATTCGGGAAGATGACCTCGATGCAAAACTCTGCCAGCGACAGGGATGGGCTGGTATTATCTCCTTGCCACGAGTTCTCAAGATGCAGGCCTTGACGGGTGTCACCGGAGCCCTGTCGTCTCCACTTCAATCTATCGGCTCCGTCGAATTGATGCCTGAAGATAGGCATGGCTCGAGCTTCACTGCCATGACGCTGTGCGCGGTTCCTGATCCTCGTTTGTGCAAGCTGAGAGGCTGTAGGTTTCCGCCAAAGGAAATGTCGGAGCAAAGCTCCGGTGGTACCTTGATGTTTCCTGTATCTTGGGCGCAGTGGGAGATGGAACTAGAATTTAGACTGGAAGAAGGCAGTGCCAAGTTAGGGTTTGATATTGTACATTCAGCTGGTAAGTACGTGGATGAGACAAAAAGAAATGCGCAGACTAAGACGAAGTGTACAGCGGAATCTACCCGCGTTTACTTTGATGCAAATGCGGAGACGATTGTGGTTGATCGGAGTTGCTCCACGTCTCTAGATGGGATCCAAACATGTCAAGAGGAAGCGCCCCACACGCTGTTCATGATTAGGCAGCAGGGCAAAGACAAGCCCTTTACCGAAAACGGGATACTGGAAACCTTGAAGTTCCACGTCTTGTACGACTCCAGTGTGCTTCAGATCTTTGTGAACGAACGCACAGCACTGACCACGAGGGTTTATCCCGCTGGCGGGACGAGCACAGGTATCCGACCGTTGGTGGAGGGAGCATCTTATCATCGTAGCAAGATTGGCGGGCCGAAGTCTCGGGCGTGGAGTATTGCTCTGTGGCCTCTCTCGCTTCCTGTCTAAAGGGGCTTGTTCGTTACCCCTGTGGTGTACATGCGTAGAAGAAGCGGGCAGGTGTGCCTAATCTACAAACCACCTTTTGCGATACGTGCACCACCGCTCTCGGTCTCGTGAAGCCATTGCTGAATCGCGCGAGTGCATGTATTTCGGATCTGATATCCGATCACAAAGTGCAGGCCTGTCAGGGATATGGAGGGCTCTTACGGGTGGACTAATGGCGCGCAGATTACTAGTACTACGTAGTACGTACTAATGACTCACTAGCAGCGGCGACCCCCGAGCGCCGAAACCATTTCCCTTTTGCACCCAGCACGGCCACCCAAGCGCATGGGAAAGCAGGAACACAACGCCGCAAGCAAATCGCGCCACAATGCTGCGCTATGCAGCATGCAGAAACCATCTTTGCTGTATTGCATTCTCGCCAACCTGCCATTCTCCTGAACCTCACACGTGTGGCCTTGCATGTGCTGATCTGTCTCTAGCAGGGGAGCTTAGCTTACTAGCATGTGATCCTTCCCGTCATCCCCATCAATAGCCACAGCCACAGCGCCATCAATGCTGGAACCCAACTCGCCCATCATGAACCAGGCCAAGCGCAGTATGTGCGGCGTGAACATTGCCCCCCCAGCTTTCTTCCCTGCACGTGGTGCTGCTGAGCCTGCCATTCAACAAGAATACTCGAGCGGCGAAATCAGATCCTACGCATCATGCTATCCTGGACGACGGACGTTCAGCTCGGATCCATTCAGGCGAAGTGACTTTGAGACGTGCCAGTCGTAGCCAGTCGTAGCCAGGGCGCTGGTTGACGCGCTGCAAGCCAACATTATGTAACCGCATACGTACTACAGGCTACCACCAACGCTAGCAGAATGATGGAAGACGAATGGCGGCGCGCAACAAGCCCAACCATGGCGATGCTAGCACCTTTACCAAGCACGAGGTCTCCATACTCGCGAAATACCAGTACCTTGAGCTGAAACATGGTATGAGGAGGATATGCGGCCAAGATGTCGTTCTCGTGAGCACATAAATGCAAGGCGTGTTACTGCTGCGCAGCTTGACTCGCCACTACAGGCTTCCCAGCAATGTGGCGCTGCCATGTTGTAAATACGGTAATAGGGAAAACATGCGAAAATGCCCCACCCACAGACGCACACACACTGTTTTGGCTACTATGCCTGCTGTAATATCCCCAGTCTCGTCGTGGCTTACATAGTCCAGAGCAGTGTGCCCAGTGTCGAAAAGGACGGGACCCAGGTTTTACTGTTTGCCATTCGTTCGTGACAACCAAGCTGGGCCGGTATTCTGGGGTTGGCGAGCGCTTGATCCGAGCCAATGGCTCTGTTTTGTCAAAGTAAACTTGGAGACTGATGGCTGCATGGCCACAAACCTGATGTGTGCGCACATGAGTAGGAAATATGCCGGGTTGGCTGGATAGCTGGATCACCAATACAGTAGAACAAGCAATTATAACAAATGCTTGGCTGCCATGGTCTTGAAAAGCTGCTGTGGATGGGAATATGGGCGAGGAGCAAACCGTATGGGCAAACAGGCAGTGAGGTTGAACAGTCTTTGCTCGCTTGATCAAGATTTGTCAACTGTTCAGAAGGACGCGCACAACAAGAACCACCGGCTGATGCTCCAGAGCAGTCACACAGTTCAGTATCGATCAGCAGTGTGCTGGTAGGAACTACAAAGTTTATCTCGTATGGCTCAGACAAGGAGAGGCTAGGTTGGCGTGGCCCCTAGGCCTCCAGCTAGTGACGCAAGCGGGCCATGCATGTCTGAATTCCGGGGTCAGGCCAGGCACATGTTGCTAAACAAGGTCGGTGCTTGTAGGCTCTGGTTTGCCAACGGTGAACAGGCCGTACATTTGAGCTTCGTGCACTGAGTCGTGCAGTACGTACGTATGTCGAATGTCAGCGCTGCTAAAGTTGGTTGACCAGCAGGGTATGCAGATGTAAGTCCATATCAGGAATTCAGTACCTCGCTGCGGCTGAGATTGCCCCCACGGATACGGCATCGTGAATCGGACGGGATCTTCGCAAGCGACTTGGTCGTGTTCCAGTGACCAAGCCGTCGGAGGGGGCCATTGGATGGCGCGGCGCATGCACATGCACATGCAGGTCATGGCCTGACATGCACAAGCGCAGGCGAGGCCATGAAATCCGCAAATGAGCAACACAATCACATTCAAGGCACGCCATTGTTGGGCGTCCAAACCCGCGACACACAGCACATGGCCAACCACGCGGCGTTGGGTGCATGGCCAACCCGTCCGCGCCAATCACACAGCCTCGCCACCGACCCGGGGAAGACGATCCGGCCGCCTGTCTGGAACGGCAAGCCCCTTTCCCTTTCGCCATCCCGTCCACCTACTACTCTACATACGTCTACTTACCTACACTGCAAACACTGACACACGGACACACGGACACACATGCATCTTTCCCACCTCCCGCCACCACCCCCCCGAGGTTTGCCATGGCGAGGCGGCGCGTGCCTTCGGCTAGCCTTGCCCACTGATATCCCCCCATACAGTCCCCGACTCCGCGGAATCCCCTCATGCTCTATCTTCTGTAGATTGATCTTTTGACCTCATGTGCCCCTCATGTCTCTCTCTCACAGATCATCGTCATCTGTTGCGTCCGGAATCGTACCTAATTAGCACACCCTCACTTCTCCTCCACGCACCCTAGCCTCTCCACCATGGCGCAAGAGAAGGACATAGGCATAGTCGGTGGTGTCACTGCTAGCCTAGGCATCTTGATGACCATGGCTGCCTTTCTTGCCATCTCCATGTACAATGTCGTCGAGATCACGTTCTTGATATTCGCCGTCTTCAAACAACGCACAGGACTCTACTTTTGGAGCTTCTTGATTGCAACCTTCGGCATCGCTCCTCACGCCATTGGCTTTGTCCTCAAGTTCTTCCAAGTCACCAAATTGGACCTGCTGTCAAGCGCCATCATCGGCTTGGGCTGGGCATGCATGGTCATTGGACAATCGGTCGTCCTGTATTCGCGTCTGCATCTGGTTGTTCGGGATAAGGCTCGGATTCGGTGGGTCTTGTACATGATCATCTTCACTGGTGTCGGCCTCGGCGTCCCGCTGTTTACCCTAGCCATGGGCGCTAATTCCAAGCATTCCGCTCAATTCCTCCCTGGCTTTTTGATTTACGACAAGATACAACTTGTCGTCATTTCTGTCCAGGAAACAATCATATCCATGATTTACATCTACGAGACGGTCCTCCTGCTGGGTGGCCATGACGGCCAGGCTCCGCGGCCCATCAAGAAGCTCCTCAGACACCTCATCCTCGTCAACGTCATGGTCCTGATCTTCGACATTACCCTTCTTGCCGTCCAATTCTCAGGCCACTACCAAATCCAAACCACCTACAAGACGGCCGTGTACAGCGTCAAGCTCAAAATCGAGTTTTCAGTCCTCAACCGCCTCGTCAGCATCGTCAAGCACAAAGACCTCCTCAGCAACCGAAAGACGCTCGGCACCAATTCCCTCAACCTCAGCCGATGGACCGGCATCAAAAAGTCGCACCCAGACACGGGCGATGCAAACACCGGCCCTTTTACCAAGATGGACGAGCTCAGCTTAAGATGCCAGAGTAGGAAGGAGTCTGTAAAGACGTTTGAAGCAAGCGTGAATCCCATTGGAATCTTGGTCCCGGGCGATGGCACCACTCCGGATTTGGAATCGGGGACTGGCCAGTTGTTAGCGCCTGAAAAGGCAAAGTCGATGGAACTTATGCAACCCTTGCGATGATATATGGGGTTTGACTGAGCCTTCTTTTTTTTCTCTACTATTACTACTACTACTATTACCTGATTAAAATAAAATTATTTCCAAATTGAATGCAAATAGTCGTTTTAAAGCACTGGGGATGGAGAGGGCATCATGTCACTATTTCACTGCAAGGCATCATAGTCCTCCTACTCAATCCATGTTGAAACCTGACCAATACTTGACACCTTTGGCCTACATTTCTTTTCTCCTGTTGCCCCCCCCCCTCCTCGGCGTGTTGCGTAGCGTACTATGCCGCCAACTACGATGATCCGTACCAAAAAAGGAAACAAGATTACTAAAAGGTTTTTCCCTCTCCTCTCTCATCACGCCCGACTTGCACAAGCACAAATGTCATTTTGGTATCTACTTTACGCAAACGGCGGTGAACTGGTGGTGGCTTTGATCCAGACATCTCATACCACCAAGGCACACCTTTGTGCTAATAGCGACTCAATACGTACCCGTAGCATTTCGGTAGCTGGTAACCTTCGAAAAACCACCAAATAACAAGCTTAGCTGTCGTCTGAATTGAGTTGTAATGCAAGTACAATACAAACTGCCGCAACTGCCGGGGAACTCTGTATACCAAGCAATCCTTGCCAAGTCACCAGCCGTATCAGGCATAGTGCTTCGCCTTATCAGCCTGTTGCCTTTAGCCTCGGTTTACATCGTAGTCTCCATCTCGATCCCGTTAGGTGTGGGATTTCTCCTTCGATTGTTGCTCTCAACCTAACTCAAGTACCTCTAGTATGATCGGTCTACTTACCAGCCAAAGGTATTACGGCCAGGAACTCGTTTGCCAAGCAGAACAACAACCTATGCGGCAATTGACTCCGTGCAACCATATTAGCACAGCGCACATTTGTGATGTTTGGACAATGTTATTGGTCGGTTAATATAATTCTCCTCATCCACCTTGTGTCGCCGCAAATGAATACATATATGGACCCTTGTTATTTGTAGACATGCCATTCGTGGACTCGACGAGCAATTGTGTTGCAACATTTGCTCATACGCTCGGAATACGGATACACACTCGAATTGAAGATGTAAGTCCGGTCCCAAGGTTGGGGACTCGAGGTCGGGCGTTTCCATTCCGCTCTGGCCATGTGCCATCTCTTTGTTGATGAAAACAGTGGACTCCAGCGGGACGGACACTTGGCGTTGTATAGGAAGCATGCACCCCGCTTCATTACTCGTGGGATTCTATCTTTCCCAATATGTCGACCGCCGCTTCCGCCCTCTTGGCTCTCTATTCAAGCGGATTTTTGATTGTAACACTTTGGCCATGTCTTGGCTGCCATCTTGTGACAAGGGAATAAGAGGAAAGAAAATCCATTTATAAAGTCGTGAATCTATTGCTTATTAGCTCTCGACCATCCATCTTCCCGAGTACCAGGAAGCCAACATCATGCGCGCCTCTACTCTCGCACTCGTCGTCGCCCCCGCTGTCGTTCTCGGCCAATCTCCCCTGTACGGCCAATGTATGTCATTCCGCAAAATGGCCTCTGAATCGCAATAGTTCACTGATCTTGCTTTGAATAGGTGGTGGTACTGGATGGACCGGTCCCACAACATGCGTTTCCGGCGCGGTGTGTAACAAAGTCAAGTAAGAGCTCTTTCTGATAGTTTACGGAGATCCTTCAATGAATATTTCGCTCACCATTACCTGCAGTGATTTCTATTCCCAGTGCGTTCCTGGTACGGGTGGCGGGTCTCCCGCTCCCACTACTACTGGCAACAGTAACCCTGCTCCTACTGGAGGCAATGGTGGAGGAGGCTCAGGAGCTGCAGGTGGATTGCACGAAAAATTCAAGGCCAAGGGAAAGATCTACTATGGCACTGAAATCGACCACTACCATCTGAACAACGCCCCCCTCATGACGATTGCCAAGAACAGCTTCGGACAGATCACGCACGAGAACAGCTTGAAGTGGGATGCTACTGAACGTGAGTACCAGACTTGATCTTTCATCCTGGATCCATGATCGTAAACTGACTTGTCTTCGTATGTAGCATCACGTGGACAATTCTCGTTTACCAATGCCGACAAGGTCGTCAGCTGGGCTACCCAGAACGGAAAGCTCATGCGTGGTCACACACTGCTCTGGCACTCGCAGCTGCCGTCGTGGGTTACGCAGATCAACGACCGCGCTACCCTGACCTCCGTCATCCAGAACCACGTGACACAGATCGTCACCCACTACAAGGGCAAGATCTTGCAGTGGGACGTCGTTAACGAGATCTTTGCTGAGAACGGCCAACTTCGAGACAGTGTCTTTAGTCGTGTCCTCGGCGAAGACTTTGTTGGTATCGCTTTCCGCGCCGCACGCGCCGCTGATCCCAACGCTAAGCTCTACATCAACGACTACAACTTGGACAGTGCCAACTACGCCAAGGTCACCACGGGTATGGTCGCACACGTTAACAAGTGGATATCCCAAGGTATCCCCATTGATGGCATTGGCACACAGGCCCATCTTGCCGCACCTGGCGGCTGGAACCCAGCTTCCGGCGTCCCCAACGCCCTCAAGGCACTGGCCGCCGCCAATGTCAAGGAGATTGCCATTACGGAGCTTGATATCGCCGGCGCCGCAGCAAACGACTTCCTCACCGTCATGAACGGTTGTCTTGCCGTCTCAAAGTGTGTTGGTATCACCGTCTGGGGTGTCTCCGACAAGGACAGCTGGCGCGCCAACGACCGCCCTCTCTTGTTCGACACCAACTACCAGCCAAAGCAGGCTTACAACACCCTTGTTGGAGCTTTGTAAGAAGGGTTTGGGCTTCAGCCGAGTATATATTGGGGGGCAGTCAGATGGCTAGTGTGTTCTAGCTAGGTGTATATAGCTTCTTTCTCTAATCCTATTGCTAAACCTGCTATCGTTATTTCAGACTATTTGGTATTACAGATGAATGTGTAAGATTCTTATTGATCTTGTGGTTCTTATGATGTATTACGATAGCTTGATGCGTAATATCGTTGGTGTACGCACCTTCTAAATCACTGACCTGATGAAACTCTGGGGGACCAACAAATCTCAGGAAACAGGGCAGAAGTTCAATGAGCTGATAGTGTCGGTGTAGGCCTTGCGCCTCCCGTCTTAATGTCCGTAGTAACGATAAAGTTTGTTTTATGGGTAATACGAACATGACATGGCCGCATCTACCAAGTCGGGTGACCAAGGCTTTACATCATTACATGTACATACACGAAGAGACTGCGGCACTCATGTGCTCAGAAATGTCCATTTCCATGTTTACTCCGGCTATATAGTCCCCGAAAACGTATTTTTATTGCAACCGCATTTGTACAATTTTGAATACTGAATGGGCATAGGAAGGGGTAGAATGGTATCGAAAAGATCTTGCTCATGATCTATGCTTATTAAGCATTGTGATTCCTAAATTAGACAGATAGTTAGTGAATGGATAGTTTAGAAGTGGTCCAAGTTACAGAAGCCATTGAGAACGTCAGAGCAGATGAAGGGACTCGATGGATCATGTATACCATCTACAATTTGTACTAATCAAAAAAATGATTTGATTCAATGATACAATAGTGAAAGAGACTCTCGTCTGATGTCGAAGTAGTGTGGCTACATTCTATATATAAGTTCTATTTAACCCTTCAGAGGCAGTATACGCCGCCCCACCTGGCACAGAAGTAAACGTTTTATTCGTCAAGACGAATACTTCAGTTTCTTTTCTTCGCAAAGAAATACCAACCCTATTCGTTGTGAAGTTCCCATGTTATGGTTAGACTCACTACTGGCGAATTGGTACCTGGAACTGTCATTCTTCCGCCCTGATCCCACAATGCATTATATTGAGCCTTTGTCTAAGAGTTAGCAAGAGTGGATTTTCCTTTCTATAAGTGAGGCTCTTACATCCGATAGCATCCACCTGGGTGCTAAAATCGTCAATGAACATGGGCTAAGGGGGCCATGAGATAAATTTGTGGTTCCATGCGGCCCATTCAAGGACCAGTAAAAACGCATGACTATTAAATTTAGTCATATGTCCTTTTGACATTGAGGGAACCTTTCTTACATTGGGTACGACCAATAGTTATAGCATGATTCCGTCGAATCCCCATATGAAGGTCCCACCCTGCTTGATCATGTCTCTGATAAGCAACTACTTGGAATGGATCGAAATCTGAATTCGGGCTTTGCACTTGTTAGTACATGATTTACAAACCTTTGGAGCAGATGCTTACCTAAAATACATCCCATGATTTAGAGAGCCAAACGAAGATGGTCGCAGCTGATTAAATTAGTTGTGCACCTATTTCGAGAGTAGTAGACATACATCAACAACGATAGCACCATTTCTAACTAGACTAGTCGATCTTGGAGTTGAAATACAGCCACCCTGCCGAGCTACAAGCTCGCGAGGGATGGCAAATATACAAGTGACCCCTGTACTTTGTCAGAGGTCTGGGCATATAAATGTGTGCGCGAATAAAATTAACATACAACAAAGGAAAAGCAGGGGCTGCAAGAGGAAAAAGCGCGCCATGGTATATACCAAGAATGAAACGATGGTGCTCGTTGCGAACTGGGCAATGTAGATTGATGATGATTTCGCGGTGGAACAGCAGCTATTTATACATTCGTGATATTGCTCTGAATCTTTGCAGACTTTTTTTTTCACACGTAATATTACAAAGTCCTAGTCTTGGAGATCATACGACTGGAATTCTAGGCAGGGAATTTATACTCACGGCTTCGGTGTTGCCTCGGTAGCACTGCAGTCATGCATCTTGGTAGAGGGTATCTTAGGTGAGCGTGTATGATTGCAAGCAACGCATATGCCACCACGGACTTGTGTATACTCGAAGATAGACATTTACGATTCAGAAGCCAATCTAATTCCATCTTTTTCTTTTCTTTATTACTATAGTTGTTTGACGCACCAAGGTATTTACCATAACAATCACGCCTGCAAAACTTAACAACAAAAAAACCAGCCGTGCGTACCGTGAAATTGAGCATATAGAGTTCAAAATAAGTGGAATTCTCACTAGGGGTTCGAAACTATAGTTTGAAAGTTTCGTATTGATAACTTTATATAGCTGACTTTGAAGATTTCTTGCTAGGGGCGGTTCATTAGCACGCCTGTTGGTCTGGACTTCTCTCAGAAAACAAACATTGTAGATTTATATCACGGAGGGCCTTTTCGATTTTCTGTGTTTCGTTTCAGTCTCCAACTCAGTATCCTAGACGGAGTTCAGCTTGATACCGAATTGAGTTCAGCAACTGGAAGATTGTTTCCAGCCCAACAGGCCCGAAGCTGTAGAGTATACTTACTTTTAGGGTTAGCGTTTCTAGCTTTTCTAGGTCTGTTTGGAGATGAAGTGTGGACCAGGTTAGACAGGCAGCGATTGTTTCCGTGCCAGTAGTCATACAGAGAGTACATAGCATTAGCGTGAATCTGTTTTACAACCTAACTGATCTTTGCCTCGAGTGGGACGTTGATTGAAGTGCCTCAAGGAATGTAGGAAGTGGTCGTTCGCCCTCTTTTCCAAGACGTGAGGCTGCGTACATCCAGAGATTACGGTGGCCCAGGAGCACGCCTGAATGTTGTTATTATATTCTGTAAATTTCACATTGGAGGGATGGCGTAGTGGGTTTTCTTCCGGGTGCCAAAGCTCTTTTACCACAATACTAAGGAATTCCTAACATTGGGAGTTTCAATATCTCCTCTAAAAAGCTCAAAGGAAATTTAAGATTTTGAGACTGCCTTAGTATATCGTTTCTGCTTTTAAAAATAAACATAATACTAAGACTTGTAATTTATAGCAAAATTTTCTAGAGCTTTAGCGCCACGGAGAGTTTTTTGCCTTCTCCTTGTTTAGCCACTGCACGTTTTTTAAGCAAATTACTGTACGTACTGAAAAGACCCACTGTAAAGCTCATACCCAACCGATCGTAAATTTCAAATTAGGATAGACAGATTTTACCAATGAAGTGTTTTCGCAGTTCTAAAGCGTTACCCCCGGCTCAATAAAACTTCGACCGTTCATGATTTGGAAATCTGTGCAGCTGTACAGCTTAACAATATAAAATAGTATGCCATGCTTGATTCTAACGCCATTACACCCCGGAGATGAGCGATATGAGTTAGTGTTAAATAAGTAGTCAGGAGTTCTGGTGCTACCGACTCAAATAAGATGTTAGCTATATATTCAACGTACCCTGGTAAAACTTGGATCTTAAGAAAAAAAGCGAAAAGCATTAAACTCATTCTAACACTTTATTGTTCATTTCATATCAAGCGCAACATCAAAACACATTGCCAACGCCCAAAAAAGAATTGCTTGTAGTGTAACGGTTCGTGTTTATTGGCCGTATTCTACAGTGGCCGTCAGGTCACTCGGAAGCATGGAATATTTATCAAAAGAAAGCAAAGCAAAGTGGTGATTATTTCCTTGTCGGAGGAAAGGATTTTGTTGCAAAGTCGATCACTAAGTGGGCCCGTTGTAATGGACCCACATACGAGCGATCCTACTACTCCTTCGAGAGGCAAGCTCAGGCTAAGATTGAAGCGAACAGGGGACTGCCCGGCTATATAATGGTCGTTCCCGCTACCCTCCACACCGCGTCCCCTCCAACACCGATTCCCAACATTGTACATATTAACAAACATGCCACTTCGCGAGACGGACCCAGACTTCGAAAATGAGATTCTCGAAAAGGCCAAGCCAGCATTAGGCGCAAAGTTCGGGGTTTGCGAATATGATCTCCCGCTGCCGCTGCTCCTCGTCGATGAAGATGCAGAGAAGCCACTGCCATGCCATGAACCTCCTGAAGAAACCATTGCTGTCAGCGCCCATATGTCGGCACGCATTCATGCCTTCTACAAGCAGATTGCTGCCGCCTACAACGAGACTGAGGATCCTCCCGCCAGCATCGCCATCAAGTTCGAAATTCAGCCACAAGAATTTGACCCAGAGGAGCCAAGTTGCCACCATCGCAGGTATCACTCGCGCCGCCTGCAGCTGCAGGACCCCGAGACATTGCCAGATCTGCCATTTGTGAGCAAACTGGCCATCAGATCAAGAGCGTACGGCTCTGGCGCCCAGAACGCGACAGACATCCGCCCTCTGTCTCCCCTCGTGCCATTACAGTGCCTTGCCCACCTATCGGCTGTCCAAGAGTGGAATGCCCCCTGGTTGTGGGAGCGGCCTATGCCAGCCTCCATGCCGAGCAGGGTGATGCGCGAGTACTACACCTGGCCATGGGAGGGCCCCCTCCGAGATGCCCGCCACGAGTTTGGCGCTGCTATCATGGACCAAGAGAAGCACCTCGGCGGTAAAAGGATCCCCGCCAGTCTTACTAGAGCAGCACTGCACTTCTGGCCTTTCTTCTCGCTCCCCAAGCATGACGAGTCCGTGGCACGGCCAAACCTGATCCATCCCGCGGAGAAAGACCCAGTCTCTATCGGCCTGTGTAAGCTCGGTGCGCAGCTAAGCCTGTTTGACGTGCGTGCTATGGTCACTCCAGACCTGTTCCCCAGTCCCGAGGCGCCAGAGGACCAGCAGTGGACACAGATGCGGCGATTCCGGCTCGAGTTTCACTCCCTCCGCCCAGACGGGCGGTGGTACTTTGTCGGCCCTGGTGGCGAAGATCCGCACGACTCTGAACAAGGAGGGTACAAGATCTCAGATGCAAAACACTACCCCCGCGAAACCGACACGGACGAGGACATGAAGCTCGACGCTGAGTACGGCGACAACCCGGACGACGAGTATGATTACGATCTTGACATGTTCCGTGTTGAGCCATGCAGGGAGCGGATCGAGCCCCTGCTTGCGGCATTTGCAAAGTCTCTGACTCACGACAATATGCCGAGCCTCGAGGACGCAGAGATTTTCACGCACTTGTGGTGGGACCCTTCAGACGACAGGGATGTAGAGAAATACGACCTTCCTATGAAACAGGGTCACAGATGGGGTGTCAAGTTCATTGCTGGGCGTGGTAGCAAGAGGCAGAAGGCAGACGATGCTGCTGCAAGATCAACACCACCGGTGGTGCAGTGGCAGGTTGGCGAGTGGAGACCCAGCGAGGAGGTCATGAGTTTGTTTGAGAGCTTGGGACGGCAGGAATGGCTTGATTTTGAGTGGGACAGGTATAGATCTACGTCGGGGCACGACTTGTTGGGAAATAGCGAGTCTTCACCTATCTAGTCGGGCGAGAGACCGCATTGAGTATGAGGAGTTTATCGTCTGAACATCCAGCAGAAAGGACGCTTAATACGTCCATTACCCTTGTATCAAAGTCCCCAACAAACAACAAATCTCCCTAGCTCCATGTATGAATACAATTATACAAGTAATCTTGATGAATATCTTCTACTATCTGGAAATACCAACACAGTACGCCTGCCCAAGCCAAAAGTTCGTCACGCAATCCTTCGAGACAGCAGGGTTCCAGCTATAGAACTGGTCAACTGTGATGCCGTTGTCTTTCGCCATGGACGCGCAGCCATCACCGGTCTGTACAACATCCCACTTGTTACAGTTAGCGGGCTGGCCGGTATGCGTCGGTGCGGGCGGCGTCGGCTTCGCTGTCGATGTTTGCGATGTCGTCTTGGTAGTAGGGGTGCTACCGCCAACGCTGGATCGGCCGACGCAGTAGGCCTGGCCGAGCCAGAAGTTGGTGATGCAGTCTCTGGAGACGGCAGGGTTCCAGGCGAAGAACTGGTCGGCTGAGATGCCGTTGTCGCTGGCGAGGGAGCCACAGCTGTCGCCTTCTGCCACGACGTCCCACTTGTTGCAGTCTGATGGCTGGCCAGTGTGGGTCGGCGCTGGGGGAGTAGGTTTGGCTGTTGGGGACGGGGTAGAGGATCTCGTTGACGATGGTGTTGTCGTGACGACCGAGCCACTGCCGGATCTGCCAACACAGTAGGCTTGTCCCAGCCAGAAGTTGGTGATGCAGTCCTTGGAAACGGCAGGGTTCCAGGCGAAGAACTGATCGACTGAGATGCCGTTGTCGCTGGCGAGGGAGCCACAGCTATCACCCTCAGCCACAACATCCCATTTGTTACAGTCGGCAGGTTGACCAGTGTGTGTAGGAGCCGGGGGAGTAGGTTTGGCTGTGGTTGACGCTGTGCTCGATGCAGAGCTTGTGATGCTGATGCCCTGGCCCTGCCTGTGCGTACAGTACGCCTGTCCAAGCCAAAAGTTGGCGGTACAGTCGGCGCTGACGGCAGGGTTCCATTCGAGGAATGTTGCAAGGGAGATTCCCGCGTTGTCGGCGACGGACTGACACGAGTCACTACCAGACACAACATGCCAGCCGTCACAGTCTGACGGCTGGCCATCGTGTGTAGCAGCTGGTGGCTGCGGCCCGGTACCCGTGGGCTCGGGCGCTATCGTGGTGGCTTGCGTAGGTTCGGGACCCCAGGAGCCACAGTACCGTACGCCAACCTGGAATACGCATGCCGGGTCAGTGATGTTTGTAGTGAGCGAGTTCCAAGCGGCGAAATTGTCAAAGTCGACGTTGTAGTTGGATGCTGCAATCTCGCAGTTGCTATTCCAGTACCCGAACACATCAGGCGAGTACTGGTACTCATCGCCCTCGAAGTAGTAAGCGCAGTCTTTGCGGACTCCGGTGGCCAATGGGATCTTGGTTGGTCTTGGGTCCAGGGTCATGGTGGCGTTGGGTAGCATGGTGAAGGGGATGCCAGTAAAGGATGCGCTGGGGTCAATGGTGATGGAGACATATCCGGGACGACCAGGATAGTTGTTGATGTCACCAACCGCCTGGATACAGTAGCTCTCTTGGGCGAAAAGGTTGGTACAGTTGGAGTTGATGCCTGTATTGAGGAACATGAAGTCGCTGAGAGAAATGGCAAATTTGAGAGTCACCAGGTTGCAGTAGTCGCCGGCTTCGACCTCGTACCAGCGGCCGCATGGCTTGTTAGATCCAATGGCAGTATTGGATGGAATTGGAGCAGCAGAAGTAGGTGTTACTGGAGGAACATTCGTCGTCTGGGCAGGCGGCAGCTTAGGCCCGGGCGGTTCGATACAAAGCGTGGTGCCGTTCATCATGTCGAGGTTGGAACAGACCGGGTTAATGACGGGGTTCCAAGCTAGCAGTTGTGGCTCTGTGATTTTCGCAGCCTCAGCGATGGCTTTGCATGTCGTGTTGACTTCCACTGTGACAGTTTTGCACGTATTGGTGATGCAGAGACTACCCGAAGTTGGGAACTCGTAACAGTAAGCAGCGAGATGATTGTCGGACAGCATCCACGCAGTACCGACACTCTGGGCCTTGGAGATGCTGTAGCAATCATCACTACCCTTGATCTGGTATGTGGTGCCGTCGCAGGCTGACTTGGTGGGCTCCGGCTGGCCGGTGAAATAGTCAATTGTAGACGTGGTAGCAGGCTTACCCGTGATGCCGCAGCTGGACGTCAGGGTTTGGTAAATGGACTCGCTGGCCACTACGGGGCCGTCAAAGTAGGGCGACCCAGATCGCACGCGCAGCCTGGCCGCGAGACACGGGTCACAATCTGAGGGCTTAACAGCGCCCTGGGGAAGTTCATTGATATAGTTGAAGGCGGATACTGGCAAGCTGTTAGTCATAATATACTAGCGGCCCTGAAATTGGCCATCACGTTTTCCAGAAGCTTGTGCGCAGGGCGGGAAACTTACCTCCAGGATTCGTGAAGAAAGCTGCCAGGGCCGCAACCGGACCACAGAAAGCATTGTTATCCTTGAGACATGTGAAGTCATAGATGTACCGGCGGCTAGCTGGCAGCATGATGGGAGATGCGTCAAGGTCGGAAATGACAAGGTTTTTGCCACAGGCGGACCGGACCGAGCTCTCCCATGATTGCAGCGCAGAAGCACACCCAGCGGTACACACGCGAGTCAGCGTGGCAGGAGGGTAGTAGAAGTCGTGGCGGAGGGCCGGGACAAGAGGGTCGCAAGCGACATCAGCCATGAGTGCTGCAGAACATGCCGCATCGAGATCCTCAGGAAGACTGTCGTCGTAGAGCATCTTGACTGCTAGTACAGTGCTAGGTCTCAGGCTCAGAAGAGCCCCAAGACCCAAAAAACATCGCCTCAAGGCCACCATGATGTTGACGGATCGTATTTTCCTACCTCTCTCACCAAGAGTAAAAAGAATGAACAGTGAGTAGAAGAGGGTAGCGCATCCAAACAATGGATGGAGGGAGTACTGTGTCTACATAGGCATGAGCAATAACTGGGGACCGCAAGGATCATAAGCAATTCAAAAAGTGCCAATGACTCCAGAGTAATGGAGGCGCAGAACAGTCGCCCAGGTCGAAGGGAAATTTTCCTCCGAGGAAGTGCAGCCGATTCGACTTGTCGTCGTCCCAGCCGGTACGAGACGGGATGCAACCGCCCGTCGCAATAGAGAGGATCATAAGAGCCTGCTGCCAAGATATCAATGATCGCCAATCCAGGTCACCCGAGTGATCCACTCTAGGAAATTTTCACGTACTTTGGTAGAAGAACGGTCAAAGTACTATACATAGACCATTTAATCTACGACTACCTGCCCAAATGGGAGAATTTCTTAGTGATGGGGCGAAATTAGATGCAAATTTGATTTCTGGATGCTACGAACATGTGATGGGTTATCTCGCTTCTGTGTAAGGCGTGCAACTACGCAGTCACTTTGGACAGCTCAATCTCCACTTTTCAAGTCTAGCGTAGTAAGGCGAACCGCTGGCCTGTCACGGTCGGTACGGGACGGTGGTAAATGCCGAGGCAAGGCTTTCTATTGCTTGTGTGCTTTGGGTTTATGCAGGGTTCATGCAGGGGTAATGAAGCGGCCCGCTTTTCGGTACTATATCTAACCCTCATCAGTAAGCACCATATCAGATGAACATTCAGCTTTCTCCTAGAAAGGCAATGCTTGGCAGTTTCCTCCGAGCGGATGAATGGCAAAATAGGAAGATCACCTTTTTTATGTTGACATACGATACTTTTCGGCCTTGCCAAGCAGCAGAGTACAGTAGAGTCGAGGCCTCGCCGCCTAAGCTTCAGTATGGCCTTTGGTACATGCACGGCAAGGAAATTTAGTATGAATATCAAGATTGAGGTTGGGGGCCTGGTTGCTCCAGAACACCAGCCAAGCTCTTTTATCACACGATACTCCGCGGCACACTCTCTCTCTTCGGCCGACTTCTCTTTATAGATATCTGGCAGCTGACTTTGCTTGTTGCTTCTGCAAATGCTCCTTCTTTTCATTTCCTTGTAACCTCTCCAACCCCCCGTCACTCGCTTACTGGGGACCACATTCTTTTGATCATCATTGTCTTTTGTTGCGGGCAGAGTCACCCAAAGCTCAGCCCTAAACGCAACTATGGGATTATGGTCCCAATTCCCATGGAGCTGTGTGCTTCTATCTACTCTCATTACCCCGTCTCTTGGAGCAGTCATTACAGCAAGGCCTGGTAGTGCGGGCGCTGTTAAGGTACCCGAAATCCCTGGCGCCTGTCGCGCCGTTATCTCGTAAGTAAACTTTCCTCAGCTATGTCATAGAGCTTGGGTCAGTAGAGTCCATTATGCTGACTTGCCATCCCAAAATTCTAGACCCATTGACTACTCGGCCAAGAACCGTCGTGACCACGAGCTGCCAGTCTGCAGTGCTGACAACTCCGGTCTTGTCGTTGCTCGTGACAACAATGGTATCATTGAAGACGAGGAGCGCGAACTAGTCCCGGCCTCACTTGAGACTGGCGTGTCTCTGATAGGACGCACCGAGCTCTCTTCCCTGTTTGGACGACAGGTAGTTGGTGGCGATGACTATACCTGCGGCCCCGACCGCCCTTGCAAAAACAAAGCTTGTTGTCCTAAGGCAACTGGTCAGTGTAACTACGGCGAGAAGTATGTCCCCACTCCCCCTCTTTCCAGTCGGTCGGCTTGTTGAGCAATGGTTTTTCCTTGCTCTTCCTGTTGTTTTCGTTATTTGTGTCGGGATTCTCTGGAATATGACTAATATCTTCTTTTTTCTATGCAGAGCCTGTGGTACATCTGGAATATCTCCCAATGAGGTATGCTGGTCCAACTGCGATGCCAAGGCAGAATGCGGCAAAAATGCAGCAATACCGGGCCAAAAGTGTCCTCTGAACGTCTGCTGTGGCAAGTGGGGTTTCTGTGGAATGACAAAGTACGTAGCATTCCAAGTCATGAAGACGTTGGTGATGCGGAACATTATTGACAATGGAGCAAAATAGGGACTTTTGTGACAAGGAGGACCATGGAGCTACTGGCGGGTGCCAGTCCAACTGCGATCAGCCAGGTCCCAAAAACAAGGCTTCCGACCAGCTCAATCGTGTAATTGGATATTATGAGGCATGGAGACATGACTCCAAATGTCAGGACATGGTAATTACACCATAGTCCCCAACCTCATGTATGTCCGACTGACCGCGAGATACAGGGCTTGGACGATATCCCCGTCAACTCACTCACCCATCTGTATTTCTCTTTTGCTTTTATCCAGCCGGACTTCCAGATCGTCGGCATGGATAATCTGCCCGATAGGCTGTTTACAGACTTCACCAACCTCAAGAAGAAGAACCCAGCCCTCAAGATGATCATTGCAATTGGTGGGTGGACGCATAATGACCCGGGCCCTCTACAAAAGGTGTTTAGCAACATGGTTAGTACAAAGGCGAACCGCTCCAAATTTATCGGCAACCTCATGTCGTTCCTCCGCATGTACGCCTTCGATGGTGTCGATTTTGACTGGGAGTATCCCGGTGCGGACGATCGCGGTGGTGTCCCCGAGGACGGCGTGAACTTCACCCAATTCCTAAAGGAGCTCCAGGAGGAGAACAAAAAGCAGCCCGTCAAGTATATTGTGTCATACACAGCTCCGACGAGCTTCTGGTATCTGCGCCACTTTGATCTTAAGTCGGTTCAATATACCGACTTTGTCAATGTCATGTCATATGAGTGAGTGATGGGTTTTTTCCTTCTTTTTTGCACTGCAACTAATGACATGAACAGTCTTCACGGTGTCTGGGATCGTGAGAACCCGATTGGTTCTCATATCTACGGCCACACCAACCTGACGGAGATGAGCTTGGCGTTTGATCTGTTCTGGAGAAATGATGTGCCAGCTAACAAGTTAAACATGGGCCTTGGTTTCTATGGCCGCGCGTTCCAGCTGGCGGATCCATCGTGCAATAAACCCGGCTGTCTCTTCAAGGGAGGCGCGACCAAGGGAGCATGCAGTGGCGAGTCTGGCATCCTGAGCTACCGCGAGATCCAAGAGATTATCAAGAACAAAAAGATCAAGCCGATTCATGACAAGCAGGCAGGTGTTAAGTACATTACGTGGAATACTGACCAGTGGGTGTCGTTTGATGACAAGGAAACATTTAAGCAGAAGAAGGACATGGCGGCCAAGCTCGGCCTTGGGGGCTACCTGATCTGGGCCATTGACCAGGACGATGCCGAAATGACTGCGCTCGCTTCAGTCCTGGACCCCAAGCCCTTGGGTGATTTCAAGTCGATCGATAAAGGAGACGAGAACTGGACGGGTACCAACGACAAGTGCTACATTACGAAATGTGGTGTTCAAGACTGCCCGTCGGGCGAGATCAAGATTACTGACCAAAAATGCGGCAAGAACCAGAAGAGCGCTCTCTGCTGTCCCCTGTCGGGAGCGCCTGACCCCAAGTCGTGCACATGGCGTGGAGGTGCGACGAGATGGTGCAACGGCTACTGCAAAGACGACGAGGTCATGACGCACATGAGCAAGTACGGCGGCGGCCACGACTGCTGGGATGGCCAGATGGCGCACTGTTGCGAGAGCTCGCTGGGAGAGAAGAACGTGTGCAAGTGGCGAGGGGTGGGCGAAAAGTGCCACAGTGGTGAACTGCCTCTGACCTTCTCCGGCACCGTTCTGGATATCCTCGACGATGTGGCCAAGATCATCTTGCGCATTGTTGGACGTGCGTACCCGCTGGCAGCTCTTACGGGGCTGCTGCTGGTCGAGGTTCTCGAGGAGCTGGATATCGACACTAAGAAGCTCTACTGCTGCCCGGAAAAGGAGGTGTCCAAATGGAAGAACTGCGCGTGGTACGGGAAGCCCGGCAACTGCTTCGACGGCCACTGTCCGGACATGAAGACGGTTCAGATCACCGACTCGTACTTTGGCGGCAGCGACACTTGCGGTATTCACGCTGACCGTGTCCGTACCTTTTGCTGCGAGTCGGATGGCGAGCCCCTCTTCCTGCCCGTTGACCTCAAGAACTTGTTTGAGCACCCACCAGAGGGCGGCTCCGACACTGACTTCATCTTCAAGACGGACAAGACGTCAGACGGCGGCGACGACAACCCCAATGATGCGGCCTTCCAGTTCGTCGTGCTCGTCTCGCCCGAGGCGCTCCAGATCTCGCTCGACAAACGCGACGGCTCCAACTGGGACGTCTTTGACTGCAACGACTCCATCTCCGAGGGCGAGCACACGGTACGCATGGTCTGCAACGACCACACGCCAGACAGCAACTGCCACAAGATTGGCCTCGGCCATGGTGTCCCGGGCACCATTCTCCAGATGCCCAAGGGCTGTGGACCAGGCAAGTATGCAGTCGCAAAGAGCATGACGCCGGCCCCGGGCAGTACCAGCGACCATGTCAAACTGCTGCCCCGTCACCTGTCCCACCTCGCCAGCCTCGAGCCTGTCGTCTACGAACTGACGTTTGACTATGACTTCCACCGAGTGCCGCGTGACATGGGCAACACGCAGATGCGTATCGACTACAGCAATCAGGACGACTACTGGAAAAACATCGTCGCCGGATCTGCCACCCGCAAGCGAGACGTCCACGGCCGCAAGAGACTGGCCAAGCGCACACTGGAAGACGTCGGCGGAAACCCAGTGCGCTGGCTCGAGGAGGAATTCCGCGATGATTTTCACTTCGACAAGATTGCCCCTCGCGACCTGCAAGAGCGCTGGTTCGGCAAGAGCATCCTCGACTGGCTGGCTGCCCTCGTCGTGCCCGAGATCAAGCGTGAATTCACGCACAAGTACGACGACAGCGTCACGGCAAAGCTGTTTGACGAGTCGTGGAACTGCCCCGGAACGGTAGATGGTGTCAACTACGATGGCCATCTGCTTGGCCAGGCCGTCCTTGACATCGAGGTCGAGTCCAGCTTCGGCTTCACCCTTATTGTCGAGAGTCTCACCTTGCCCCTTAATCTCGAGCAGAGCTACCTGACCTTCTACAACAAGGGCAGGGTCACCGGTGTTGTCACCCTTGAGGCCCTCGCTCGTGTGACGTACGAGCAGAAAGAAGTCATTCTCAACTTACCATTCCCCGGTGCCTCGTTTAAGATTCCTGGAATCGGCACAATCGGTCCTCAGCTCACGGTCGAGGGCAGCATTGATGCCTCGCTCGGCATGGCTGGCTTGATTGAGACCAAGCTGGAGATTGCAAAGTGGGAAGTGAGTAGCAAAACCTTTTGCCTCTTGTTCATTCAGACCCCCAATACAAGGAAGAACATTGCTAACCACTCATACCTCTTCCTAGGTGCGCCAAGTCATGCCTGACACCAATTCCTACAAGCCCGAGCTCATCGACAACAGCAAGCCAAGCCTGGATCGGACGGGTGACTTCTCCGGAATCAAAAAACCCGAATTCTACGCAGGGGTCACTGCTTCTGGAGATGTCTCCTTCAAGCTATCGGCCGCTGCCGAGTTTGGCGTTCGCTTTGATCCCAAGTGGAAGGTTGACCCGGCAGCCGCTGCAGTCGTGGGCGAGGTCAGCCTAAAGACCAAGTTCGCAGCAGGTGTCTCAACAACGGCAACGTGCCCCTTTACCTACGGTCTCGATATCGGCGCTCGCTTGTTTGCGAGAGCAACGGCGCCCAAAACATTTGGCTGGGCTGGTGGTGAGGTCAACCTGACGGATCCGTGGGAGAAGACCATCATCAAAGGCGGCACTTGTCCCAACCTGGGCCCAATACCTTCCAAAAGAAGTATTCAAGATTGCAGCCACCTTCTCATAGAAGGCAGCTCTGAAGAGAACGACGTGAACAGGAACATATCGAGGTTGGGAGCTGCCGAGCCCGATGCGGAGTCTATTCACAGCTCTGGCACCACTCTGCTCACGAGGCACATCTCTGGCGGGTATATGTCGTCCCTGGTCAAGAGAGGTGGTGTATACGGTCCAGCCCTTACTCTCAATGCCGGCGAATATTTCTGCCCTTCTAAAGACGGTGAAAAAGGCATCACGTGCAAGGAAGCATACGCTGGCCTAGCAGAGAGCAACGAAGGTGGCATCTGGACAGACGCCAAGCACAAGAGGGAAGTTCTGGCACCCACGTCTACCATTGATGAAAACGCCATTGCTGCACATTTCCATGCTCATCAGGAGCGAAGCCATGACCATGGTCACCACGCAGGAAGCGAGGCACTGCACATGTTTGACAAGAGAGCCAAGGAAAAACTTGTCCAGGCTTGTGATCGGGCATGCGATATCTCAGGCGACTTCCCCCCAGGCGGCCAGCTGAATGGCTTTGATTGGGGCTGGGTCGATCCTGAGGACTGCAGCAACTTTAACTTTGGTGACCCCTTGCAGGCACGCGCTGCAGGCGTCCAGTATCACACGGAGCATGTCCTCGAGGCCCAGATGATCGACCTTTTCTTCAAGTATCTCGACAAAAAGAAGTCTAAGCAGCCTGACCCGAAGCCAGGTGCGGCCCAAGGAGCCACCGTTTCCTTCTGTGACTATGTCAATGAGCTGTGGGATGTGCCTCCTTTTGTATGGCCCAACGAGGACACGACCGGCGGCGTAGGCAAGGCTTGGAACCCCATCATGCACATTGCAGCGCAATATCCGACAAGGACATACAAGAAGGAAGAGTTCATCGCTCTCGAGTCTGCCATCAACACGCCTTCTAAGACTAGTGCGTGGGCAGGCAACAACCCGTGGAACTATGGCACTTGGGCCAACGATATTCCAAAATACGCAGAGGCCAGGGTGATTCTTCAGAAGATGCGCAGCACAATGGGCTCTCGCTTGTACCAGAGCCACTCGACTATCCAGAAAACAATGAAGACCCAGACGGATCGGATAGGAAAGATACTCGATGCTCTCGACACGACACTGCTACCCGCCAACCGACGCCCTGGATACGCACAATGGTCGAAGCAGAATCTCAAGTCCGAATGGCTCACTTACATGAGAGGTCAATACACCAAAATGATGACGCAGACCAACAGTCTTATCACTAAGCACCTTCAAACGATGGTAGATGCATGGACCACACAAGCAGAAAAAGACAAGTGGAAGGACCTTCCGAACCAATCAGCCGCGAAGTTGAAGGAGAATAAAGAACATCGCGATTTTATAAAGGCGATCGAAGACTTCAAAACAAAATGGAACAGCCTGCCAGCATGGAACAACCCGCTGTGATAGCGATGAATTGTAGCAGCGCAGTTTGTCTTTATTATTGCTATCATCGTCATGATTGTAGGATTTAATCAATTCCTGATATCTCCTATTTGTATTATTCAATTTTTCGTAATGTAAATATGTATTATGAGCGAAGTTGAGATTTGTACATTCGATCGAATCAAAAACATCAAGTATACGTGTACTACTAGCGGCTAAATATATGCCTCTAAAATCGAAGATTGGTAACGTTGATAGTATAGACTTGTAAAAAGTTCAATGTAGATTGGCATTGATTGCGAGGAAGACTACATTTTAGTTACAGTCGCTTCGAACGTCGTCGTCTCGAGGTTTAGAACCTTCCGCTTTACATCAAAGTTCTAGTATAATCCCCCACAGCCACCAAAGACATATGTTCATCAACCCCGACGTTGCGGGCACCTTTGTATATGCGTAGTAATCCCTGGTTACATCGACGCCTCAATCAAAAAGTACGCTGATGCATCAAAGCCTCCAACAAACCAAAGCGCAAGTCCAAAAGTGTCAGCTACTTAGCCCTGGGAGCCCCATTTAGGGCTGACACCCTGTCACCGTCGCACTGGCGAAAATCCGGGGGTTGGGGGAAGGACTAGACTAGTACTGCACACCATGAACGCTTAGTTCACCTGCGACGCATGGGATGTGCATTCTTCATGTCGCTCTTTTAGCTTTACCCCATGCAACTCTGGCATGATGGGTGCCACGCGAGCGTCGTTCTAGCTTGTTCCCCTGCAGTCTGCCCCGTGTGTAGGTGGTCGTATTTAAAGTTTGGCCGAGGTTGCAAAGCTCGGCATGCGACATGCGCGCGCACAGGGCTGGCTCATCGAAGAGATTTCGCAACCACGGAAATTTAGACACATGTCTGGATCGCTCTTCATATGCGAGTGTAAGTGTTTTGATCTCCGATGGTGCATGACTTCTCTCGACACAAAGGATATGATTAAAAGCACGCAGTGCCAGATGCTACTGACTAGTGACGATCCTGCGCGTGCTTGGGCGATCACGTTGAAAATGGGGTCACGTAGTATACGAACTACGTACTAGTGTTACTCGTATTCGCTCAATGATCGGACCGTTGGAATACCACGTGTGCTGTCAAGGAGTATAAAAGATGGGGTTGAATGCGCTATATCAGTTCTGTATTGCAAAGTGATGCCCAAAGAAAGTTGTTTGGATATGCGAAACGGGGTTGGGCCGAGTGCTGTCGGGATATCACAGTCGTGTTTTGGAGGATCGACCAACCCGGTGCGAGTGCTAGCTTGCAATGTGCGATATACGTTTGGACTCTGGTTGATTCCTGGATGAGTCGACTAGACTTTCGGGTCATGCTGCCTCTTGAGTCGGCGACTCGATGTCCTGACTGCGGATTCCAGGAAGACAGCGTAATGTTGATAATCTGACGAAATACGATGACCAAAGAAGGCATTTCAGATCGTGTCTTACACTCGCGTCCCGTCTGCCTTTCAAGAACTGTGTAATAAATTTGTTTCATTAATCCCATATCACGTACTCTTTACGTACTCCCTGTCAAGTATAGCTTTGTCGGACGCTGAATCCTCAAGAACAGAACTGGACACCACAACGGTGACGGGTTGTTCTCGGCTGTTATGATCCCGCGACTCTCCCGCCTGACCGGAGTTGTGCTTGGTGACGAAGGTGTCCACTGGTTGCAGCTCCATGGAGCGATCTTCACCTACATTATCGCCATCACAATCGAACCTCGTGAAGTTCTGTGTTGAGAGTCTGTAGGGGTCCTTGCCGCCGTCTTTGCTTCGTTGCTTCGATACCTTGAATGTGGCGCCCGAATAGCTTGAGCCTGTACTCTTCTTGTCTTCCAACGACCTGTAGCTCTTCTTCTTGCTTGATTCGTATGACGGACCACTCTGGCCATAGCTTGAGGGTGCCTGAGTCTTGTTCTTGAAGCCATTTATCATGAATCTTATTAACGCCTGTACTGTGGGGACGGCAGCACAAAAGTGGCCGAGGCTGCTAGCGATAAAGGTACTCATGGACGAAGCGACGATGGTGTAGGTCTGGTCGCTTTGATCCACAACACCCTTCAAGAAGGGCACACGTGCGATTGCGACACCGATGAGACTAAGCAAGTCAGTACGTGTTGCATAAGTATACAATGAGTTATGAACGCCTTACAGCAAACCGACACCAAAGAACATGAGGAGCTCGATCTTCTTTGATGCCGCCATTTGCAGCTTGAGTACGATCGGAACGGGAAGGGCGAACAGGACGACCTCTGCAATGATCTCGTAGACAACTGAAAGCTTCAGTATGATGAGCCAGTCGAGACACTTTGCTGTCTTTGCAGCTTCGAGATCCCACTGGGCACGGACCGGATTGCACCGGATAGCCGCTGTGAAGATGAGGGGAAGTGTGAAGCAAGCTGTAAAAGCCATGAAGGCAAAGACAGCGCGCTTCAACCATACATTCGGGAAGATGCGGAGGTACAAGCATAATATGCTGTATTTGAGTAGTAACATCTCCACTGCCCAGAGGATGGTGATTATGTAGGCTGTACGGCTGTCAGTACGATATGCAGGTTATATGTGTTGGGATTCGTACTCCACAGCCCAATGTCGTACACACGCTGATACGTCAAGTCCCAAAGATGCTTGCCGACACCTGCATCAACGTTGAGTATGAAGCAGACCATGAGCGGAATGCACAAAATCTCCAGGCGTCGTCAGTATGGAAGAAAGCGGCCACTCCTTGTGGACTTACAGCTGATGCAAGATGGACCCAATCGTCCCACCAGAAATGATTACCACCAACCCATCGCGATGCAAAGCGCATAGCAACAGCGACGACAGGTATTATGCCTGTTACATATGCTGTGACCATCATGAGCCGTGTGTACGAATCGTGTGGCCGATTGCAGAGATCGGCTTGTGCTTGAAGGATTTCTGTATAAATGTCAGTGATGTTTAAAATTGATGCTACCATAGATCTACCAAACGTCTGGTCAAACGTGCATCTGTCCAGCAAGCACGGTTGCAGGATTGCGGTCGAGTTTTTGGAGTTGCATTGGCACTCAAGGTCGAGAAGACCGCAACCGATGAGAGGCAACTTCTCCGCGATACATTCAAGCTACACTGCTCAGCTAAATTCATATACATACGTCTTCGATAGAGACCATACTCCGCATGGTGGTATCCTGGCTAATGCGTCCGCAGTGCTGTCTGGTGCTGCAGCCGACAAGGTGAAAGCACTGGAGCACAGCGCAATTGCAATTACACGGTGCCAAACCATTACAAAACATAAAGAAGGTGACTTGGGAACCTGAAGCCGGCAGCAAAAGGTATTTGTTGTGTCCGCGGACAGTGGCTCATTGACATGAGGCTTCCAGCGCTATTGCTTCGACTAGGAACGACCACATTCTAGTCGTCCTTGACAACTACCAGTGGTACCTGTGACACTGACACATGCCATGCCAAAATTTGGCCGACTTATCGCACAGGCAGGGGATCGTCCAAGCATCATCCTGACTTGAAGAGTTCCATGCACGCGTTGAACCTCCGACAGGCAGCCAGTCCTGGCCCCGCTACCATTGATAGCTTCATGATCGAAAACTCCGATTGGGCAGACATTGAGCAGGATTGTCGATAAGATTGTTCGCCGATGAAGACATGTGGGGTACAGGGATGTTGTAGATCTTGTTACCGGTATGATCCGATCTGCATACTAGGAGTGCGAAAAGGAAAGGATGTTAAAGCAGCAACCAGCCTCGTAATCACCACAATGGTTCTGCAATTGTGGACCCGAATATTTCCGTGGCACTTTCTGAGCAAAAAAAAATTGCTGCAGCGCCGACTGAGGTAAGTGAACCGCGTCTCTTCGGGCGCAGACTTCCGTTGTTACTATGTAAATTCGCCTATTGCGCCACTAGTGCCATGATCAACATGACACACGCCCCTGGGCCCATTCCCAAACCTTAAAAAGCCTCCTCGGGTCAATCGGATGTATACCAGCCTAGTGCATTCTCGTTTTCAAAACACCGGCTCTATTAAACTGCCACCCCCTTCAGGGCGGTCGACCATGCTGTCTAAGTCAAATAATTTATATGTGTTTGATGTTCCTGAGAAAAAATGCCTTTCATTGCGTCATGAGGTTCCCAGTGGACAACATCCTTGTACATAGTTGTTCAAGTCAACCCTGAGGTCGAGAGACGTACCTCGTCACGAGGCATGTTTGCGAAATTAGCTTCTTCGGCCTGGGCCTCATAAATTTAGGTCATACATACCTGCTCTTTATCCGTTTTTCCTTCCAGCACTGAGTCTTCGATTTGAATACGATGCTTAAGAGCATAGCTGGACTTTTGCGCACGCAGAGAGTTTATGCCAGAGTTTTTTCGGTCTCTGCAGGTATCAGACCAGTAAGGCATTTTCTTTGACTTATCGTCCTCGAACGGCGTCTTTAGTATTCGCATTGAAGGAATATGACATTCAGCGTGCTTTTAGAACATGTTGGATCTACATATAGTCGCTATTCTGTGACAAGCTACTGTCAACCTGCTCAAGCCATGCAGTAGAAGCTTCTTCCGTGAATGAGTCAACGGGTGCAGAATTCCGTCACGGGTATAAAAGTCGGCATGTTAATTCCCGATTAGGCTCCATTTACTCTTTCTATCTATTACTTAAGCGCACCACTCCTTTAGCACTGCTAGCCAGGCTGTCAGAGTTACCCTTTACTAAGTACATATATCATGTAAGGCGTGCCTGTAGGGCGCGCTCATTGCTCCCTGCGATTCCTTTGGAGATCTGGTTCTTTGGCTCGTCTTTGACTGTTTTTTGAGCCTGTTTTTTCGGCTCGTTGTTGGGCTGGTTTTCTGACTGGCTTGATTGGCGGAGATTCTAGCGTGATCAGACGCTGTCCGAATACGGAGATTTCTATCGTCTTGGGGCGGCCAATTAGCGCAAAGCTTCTTCGTGCCAATCAGGTCACATCTCTTCGTGCACAAAAACCTTTCCGGGACCGATTGTAATATGCAGCTACAGATACATGAAAAATTGCTTGGGAATAAGTATGTAACCACAGCATAAAAGCCACACTCCATATGCTGGCTAACGCTTCGTCACACGCATTGTCAAGCACTTTGGCGATCGCAACACCAGCGCAGGACCCAATACTTCTGGCCACAACATCACTTACACATTACCTATATCTAGCAGTATCATGCTTTAGATTCTAAGCTTGTATATGTTTAATCAAAGCGTAGTATTGAACCAGCTAGAGGGCTCCCGTCACTACTTGACAACGCGTCATCACGACTTCATGCGTAGATTTTGTAACAAGATCGGAGTAAACCTCGTAGTCGTCTTTGAGACGCCCAAAGTCTTTGTTGCGTTTGCTCCCTATGCCGTCAATATTTACGAGCCCCGTCTTATTCGGCCGCCTTTCCTTGGCCGATCCTTTGTCGGACCGATTTTATATGCTGCTAAAATGGGACCATGCGATGAGCACAAGTGGAGGCAGCGTAGGCAAACATGCAATTCTGATGCTAGATGGAAATGTCGTCCTGGTCGTGCGCTCTTACGGTGGTTTGTTCGGAAAAAAATGACCTCGAGGGTTTGAGCTACAAGCAGCGATAGACAGTGGGTAGAAAAAGCGGAATCATCATCTCGGTTTACCTTACTGCTTTCGTGGCTCTAAAGGAAGCAACCGTCAAGGCTATGGTCGGCGGTTAATCCTTACTTTGAACACAATTTGATGTACGCATGTGCGCTAGATAAGTACCCTTGACTCCTATATAGCAGGACTAAAAAGCAGGTCTAGGGTGACTACTGTTACGCCGCTACGTGCGAGATAGTCTTCTACCACGATTTAGAGAATGAGACATAGAATAGCGCCATTTCGAGGCTTAAGCACCAATTGGTGCGCGTTTTTGTCGAAAAGGTTATTGATAAGCCGCGGCATGAGATCCCATCCATGTACTTCTTCTGCGAAGCCGACAAAGCGCTTCCGCTAACAGCAGATGTCACAGAAGCTAGCTAAAGATGCACTGAGTTTCAAATCAATTGGATGGCATCCACCTTTTCTAAGCCAGCTGCAGGAGGTTGTTGAAGATTGGCCAAAAGAAGAAATAGAATTGACATGTTCTTCATTTTCATCGTGATGCCTGTAAAATAATCATTTCGTACCTTATACCCTATAGCTCACCTACACTGACTGTTGTGATAAGTGCTTCTATTCCTTCGACACGTACATAGCCGCTAGTAGCGTATCCACCGTTAATTTGGTTGGTTTTTCTGATGCAACGAAGTCCAGCAGTCTCGATAAAGTCCAGGACTTGGAGGTTTTAGTCGCCCGGGACTCCATGATTTGAGTTAGCTCCCAACTAATCCAAGCGCCTGAAGAGGTATCTTGCGATCGTAACAGAAGCCAATGTTACCTGCAGTAGTGTCTATTCAGCAAGTTAGGAGGCCAGCATTCGACCGTGCCAACCCCGCGGTTCTTCAGTGTTACAGGTTCGCAGTCCCAAAGATCGTTTTGCCCTTACTCTGGAGACGCATGTCCCATCGCTTAAGCAATGCTTGAGCTACATTTCTGCTGAAAAGTTCAGCAATCTGAGAGTTGTGATCGACAGTGCAGCAATTATGGTATATTCCTATGGTACTTGACGCTTTACAGTATACGAGCGAGTATTTCGAGAAAACAAGGCTCTTCCATGGTCATAATAGCCATCTTCACTTGTTCCGCCCTCTTTACAGTTGCCATAGGATGCCAGCCTCTGCTACGTGTGTCTGTCTACCAGGAATCGAGGGAGAAGATTTAATAAAGCTATGTATCGATTCTCCGCCTTGGAAATGCCGAAGTGGCTGCCAAAGGACCGTATCGGTACAGCTCTACACATTAGGCTAACACTAATTTGCACTGATAGCAACCTGGGTTTCAAAGTTCCTAAGGAAGCTTAACTAAGTATTTGATACTTGATTGACTCTTGTCTAGCTTGAAGTTTGATCACGTCTCATCTATTCCCATTTATAAGATGAGGCTCATTATGAGCAGCTAGGCCGCTGTCCACTCATGTTATAGCGGCACTGCAACAGGAAGGACTGGAGATAATCACAGCCTCACATTCTTCAAGAAGAACAAAACAAGAGCTAGAGGATATGGCTAGGTCTTATGGCGTTGTAAGCCAGATTGTTAGGTTACCGGGGCAGGTTCCACCAACTTCTTCGTGCTTTGGAGGACGCCCATGGAAAATTGTAGCTGGTCACAGTGCCTATTGGAGAAGAAAGATTGGTTCTTGTAGCAAACAAAGGTCAAACCATCTTAGCAGTTTTCAAGACTAATTTCTCGTCGCAGGAGTCGAGTTCACTTGATCCGTGCAGTGTGGTGGGAAAGAGGATCACAATTTCTGAGATTGGTTTTACAGTCCAAGAATCTCGCGTCCTCAGCGCTATCGCTATGGGAACATTAACATGGATTTAAGAGATGAGAAAACTAGCTATCGTATTGCGTGGAGGGGCTCAAAAGCCATTGGTTTGAGGTTTTAGATGAGACCTAAAGTCCCAACATAGGTGAATGGGATCGTAGAGTCCCATATTATCTTTCAAAGCTGGACCACCATTTCTGTCTCGGCAGACCCTAATATCTATAGAGCGGCTTAGGTCTAACTTCCCGTGGCACTAGATCCTCAAAAACTTATGCGACCAGCACACCGACGAAACGTGCAACAGTCGCGTGCCGAACTTTGTGGTTCAGTCGGACTGCAGTAGAACAGACTGTACAGATGATCATCTTTTCGCTTGCATCAAATACGAGAAAGTCTGTTGTTGGAGGTTTCTGCTATTCGATGCAAGCGTCAGCTGTTGACAAGTATACCAAGCAATGGACGTCTTGCATACTACCGCGGCAACGGATTCTTGGATAGAAAAAACCCATTGCCTAGCTTCTTCCGGTGGGAAAGATGAGGTTGAAAACGTTGCCTGCGTGCGGAATCTCTATAGAGCATCCATTGCAGCAACAGGCAAATATAAGAGATGAGAGCATCTAACATGTAAACACATAGACGATAGAGTCTTCGTGATGGGGCTAATATGGCTGCATAACGTAGTTTCGAGTCGCGTCCGCGCCCAAAACGCGTTCTAAGGGGGCACTCCAGCGCTTCACTGTTTTTGTGCAGCACAGAGACGCGTTCCATGAAGGCTTAACCGCGTTACACTGTTAACAAAGGGGGATGAGGGCAGTTCCGCGTCGGCATCTTATATTAGGTGAAGTTTGGAAGAAGAGAGAAAAGCTTGTATTTTGTCTGTTGTATCCATATATGCATGAGACTTCGTCTTAGTGGTCTTGTCTAGTGCTACTTTCAAAGATGCTGATTTCTCTCAGAAAAACACTCTTTATGTTGCATCTTATACTCAGTGCTACGTCACAATAAGGCTCCACCGCCTCTCACAAATCGAACCCTTCACAATTTATAACGTGTTGACCCTCAAGTACAACCACTAATATATCAGAGAAACAATTCAAATTTTCACATTATTTACAGAAGTCATACCCTTGATTTGCGAATTGATTGCAAATCCAAGCTCCAGAATCATCACCTGCTATCCAAAAGGTTCCATCATCCCCAACGCTAGTATGGAAGTTCATGCACGTCGAGTACCCATACCGATCGTATTTAACACAACGAGCGGTGAGTATATCCTGCCACGAGATCCTGGCACTATCGGGTGTACCGACATTCCAAACTGACGAGTCAAACATTGGTCCATTAATTAATGAGTCCCCATTCATCCGGCACTCGTATGGGCCGAAGTCACGGTTCAAAGGCACATAATCGTCCCATACATTCCATTCCGTCCAGCATGCGTCGGTGCTATCGCCATGAACACGGAGATTGAAAGAAAATCGTGCGGTGGCGAGTTGCGCTATAATTGCTAGAACCACTAGTGGGGCTCCTGCGTACTTAAGGTTAGAACTTTGCTTCTAAGTATTAGTCTGTTTAGCCACTCACTGCTCAACATTTTTATAGATTGGGCTGATCGAGACTCAGAAAGGGGTTTTGATAGGACAATCGATTCACTAAATGGTTTATCTAGTTTCGATGTTTGTAGCGGATGAATTTTCAATGTCCTGAGGCCCTGACATCCTTTATAGCTCTCGATTACGAGTTAAGTTAGTCTATCGCTTAGTAGCAAGCGGATAGATATAGGCAGCTAGCCTTTTCAAGTATAGGGCTATTGTGCCGAGCAGCGCTCAGACAATACGTTTAGACGCTCGGCGTACTCTAATAGCTATGTCCATGCGCGCAATGCCTGGAGTCGCCCAACCTGTTTCAATCAAGTTAGCTTCGTCCAGCTACCCGATTGTAAGCCACGCAGCGTATCTGCGCTTATGCACAGCTCAGACATTCGGGATGTCCGGTGCACTATGTCACTTTAGGGTTAAAGAAATTACGCGTTTACATGCAATTGGCCATAATGTACTCCGTGCGTTAGCTTAGCTTAGATTATATAATCAAGATCACGCTAAGACTATCTATCAGGCCTTAGTATGTGATGGCAGCCATTAGGAACATGAGGCGAAGCAAGGATTAGATTGTGATGGTTAAGCGCTCTCGTAGTAGTTAGTAGCAATGTGGTTACTACACTTTTGCGGGCCGAAAATAACGCGTAGCTTAACTAGAAATTGTTACGAACCTAAGGAAGGGACAGCCAGAAGATAAAGGAAGAATAAAGGAAGAAGCCCATGTCAAGGCCTCACGAAGTAACAA